GCGACTTCGCGCCGCTTAGTGCTATACGGTCAGGAATGACCACGTCCTCAAGACTATCTTGCTTGGTTCGACAGACTTGGTTTGATGGAACAGTTGTAGGAATTAAGAATTGTTTGAGGGATGAGCCAATGTTTCCTTCGATCAGAACACCATGGCTCCCCCGTCCACGATGATGTCTGTTCCATTTATATACCGTCCTGCGTTACTACATAGCAACACCAAGGGCCCTGTCAGTTCCCACGGATGACCCATACGGCCCATCGGATTCCTCTCATTCCAGCTCTTGCGCGCTCTAATTAAACCATCACCGTCGTTAAGTATCGTGTCCATGTAGCCTGGGCTCAAGCAGTTAACTCTGATGCCATAGCTACTCCACTCAGCAGCCAAGCTCTTTGCCAGCGATAGCAACGCTGTCTTGGACGAGTTATATGCACATTGCGGCTGTGGGTAGTTTGTATGATGCGCAGAAATACTCGCAGTAAAGGTAATGCTCCCTCCAGTCCCTTGAGCGCGCAATTGCTTCGCAACAGCCTGCGCGCAGAGAAAAGAGCCTGTGAGATTGATGTCGTGCGTGCGCCGCCATTCGTCGGCCGCCATCTCTATGGCGTGTGTGCAGCCTACGACGCCCGCGAAGCAGCATAGCATGTCTATACTGCCCAGCACCTTGACCGAGCTTTCTACAGCCGATGCGATGGCTTTCTCATCGCGTACATCGACGGCTTCGGTCATGATTCGCGCGTGGGGAAACTTGGCGTGTAGTTTCTTGACGCTTTCGAAAGCTTGATCGGGGTTCATGTCCCATAGAGCCAAGCCTGTAGCTCCATGTTCGAGGAGGGCCTCTGCGGCTTCAAGTGCAAGTGTACCCGCGCCGCCAGTGACTAGGACATAATTGGTTAGCCGGACGTTCAAGTGTATAGTGCATGGGGTGGAACAGGCGAGTGTGCTACCTTGCAGGCGTTCACGTACTAACTGCGTTTCCCTTGACCTGGAACCTATACTGAGCTCTTTGTGCGGTAGAAAGGTCGTGTGGGGGTGGTTTGGGCGCTGTGAGAGGGTTGTCTGCTGTTGACAGTGTCATCTCTGGCAGCTGTCGGTTGACGAGCGCAGCGCGGTCATCTCCGTCTCCCGGCATTCTGACTGGGTTGCTAATGTGGTGAAGCTTGATGCGTATGTACAGAGAACTTCTTGTTATTCTCTAAGCGCGCAATACGGACTCGGGGTTCTTATGAATTTCTTCGGACGACAGCAGTCCGCATGTACAGATGGTCGGTGGAGCTTGCCCAGCTCGAACATGACGTCGCGAGCCCTGCCCCACTAACGTTCTTTCACCCCACCAGAGTCTGAGGCAGGTTTGCCGAGCGTGGGGTCTCTCGACCCTACAGCACCAGCAAGACCTCCGCAAGACTTCTACAACACCTCTGATATCGGCGTTGCAACCCCTTCACCTGAAGTTCGTGGCAGCATTGTGCAAGATCATGGTATAGAAATTCGGAGATCGCGATGTCCGCATGGCCATTAGCAAACAGATTGGGTGCATCATCAAGAAAAAGGAGTCTTGTAGCTTCCATGTCAATTAGCAATAAAAGTATAGTAGAAAGTGTAAATAATTCCCTGTGCCTTATTGGCAACTCGAAGCAGCAATAGCACGCATTCTCGCGCAAATGCGCGCCAGCTATGCGTTGCGCATAGTCGATACTCTCATTCGAAGCATTTATCCAGCACTGCTTTCCAAAAATCATGGAATATTCAACCCAATCCACCGAGTCGTCACTAGAAAAGAACCTCGACTGAGATTGATACAATCGTCTTTCGACAACTGCAATTTCCATCCCAGAATTGGTAATCATCGAGCAAGAAGCATGAAAAGACCAAGCCAGTATCAAGGATGGCGCACCAGACACTCCGAGACCGGATAATCCATAGGGACTACTAACCCCACCAGCTGACCCTCAGAAGATTCTTCACGGCTGTGGTGAAGGGAATGAAGAGGGCCGAGACGAAGAGGATGACGGTGAGACATCATACGCGGGTGGTGGTTGTGAGCCCGGAGAAGAATACCGTCTCCGCCAATGGGCCCTTGTCAAATATGACCGCAACCACCAAGGCCCTGAATGCGATTGTATGGATCGACTAGAAATGAGTCAGGAGCGCAAGATCTCGCCAGGAAAATTGTGTCATATGCCTTTTCAGCCGTAGTGCTCCATGGAATGTGGACGCACACGAACGAGGCGAGCAGGAACAGCACGTGTAGCTGCCGTTACCCACAATGCGCGATGGGAGATACTTCAAGTTACAAACTCGTACTGCTTTCTTGTATCGGCGATCTGTTACATGGTTTGGACTGGAGAAGTGGAGTTACCTAGGCGCCTTCGATATGTTATGTCTCGCCTTCCGAAGCGAGCCGGCGTCAATGTCAGCAACACGTCGCAGTGATCATCTATAGAATTGAACAAAATAGACTATCTTGACAAACATTGTTGTTTTGGATATATAAAGACCCTATCTACCCTGATTCAACGCGCTATGCGTGTAAATGCGGGGTCTCCACATAGTGTATCTTCCGGCAGTGGCAGCTCGGTCCGCGCCATGAAAACAGCCGACACCTGATCTACACCATTCAATCAAGACCGGCAATTCTGGATCTCTACCTATCTATTGACTTGCCTCTTTCTCTGGTGCATCAAATGGCAGATGAAAGCAGCCTGCTCAGACGAGGTACAAAAAGGGCAAGAACACGACACGGGTTAATCCCACCCTCGACATGCCAAAACTGATAATAAGACTAACGCCATCTCCAGATGCATCAACTGCAAAGCAAAAAGACGCAAATGCGACGAAGCAAAACCCACCTGCGGCCGCTGCAGTAGCAGGAGCGAAAAATGTGAATGGGCCTCTCGCCTCACCTTCCGGGCTGAAAACGCTCTAGGCGTCGAACCATCATCGCTGCATCGACCGCCGGGACGACCACCCGCGCGTTTTAGGATCAAAGACGTAACCGCGGAGGTTATACGCGACTACCAGCACTATGATCCAGGAGACGATCTCGATGTGTCGGATCAATCTGATGGTCAGCAAGCGACTGCTCCCAACGACGTGTCGCCGTCTACGGTGCACGACCAGGATACACCATATCAGGAACATTTCAACTGGCAGCACAATCCGACTTTCCCAGCTGCAGAGCCTAATCTTACTAGTCTCCGGTCTACTGATTATGTTCCTCTGCCCGCTCCAGGAGATCTCGAGTCCATCTGGCACAGTCCTGTCGCCACTACGTATCTAGACGATAGCGTATTCCTGCCAGGCTCAGCATATCTCGATGCGCATTCTACTTTTCGAAACCACCTTATTCAGGAAGTCAGATCCAATGTGCCGACTCGACAAGCCACGCCTGATCCCACACGCATCGAGCATGTGTGGGGAGTTAATGCGGACTACAACCCAGACACCGAGAGCCACATCACAGAGATCCCCACTCGCATCAATGCAGTCGAAGAACAAACTCCCACAAACCCCTCAGCCCCCCAGTTATCCCCAGAAGAAGAATTCGCACTCTGGAAAAATTGGTTCGATGAAGTCGCACCTTGGATCGATAAATTCGATCCTGAACGCCATTTTCGACATACACTTCCCGTTATAGCGCGGTCTCACGACCACTTGCGATACTCCATACTTGCACTATCAGCACGTCAGATAGAGCGGAAGAACAACAGCAAGCACACGGAGAGGAGTTTATCTCTGTACCAAACAGCCATCCAACTCGTGTTACCACAGCTACACACGCGCAGCACGCCCGTAATAGCATCATGCGTTGTACTCTGCGTATTGGAGATGCTGAGTTCGTCGGCAAAAGCCTGGCACCAGCATCTCGATGGGTGTGCACATCTGTTGGAAGCTGTGGGCATCAATGGCTTCTCAGGCGGTGTCGACCAAGCGCTCTTCTGGTGCTTTGCGAGGATGGATGTTTGTGGTGGGCTTATCGCATCTTCCAAAACGCTTATACCGGTGGAGCACTGGGCTGATGGTATGGATCTTGACGGTGATGTGGAGCGCTTCCGAGTGGACGGCGGATATAATGTCCACGCGTGCGAAGCGGTGTATCTTATTGCGCAGATACTCGACTTACTGGCTTTCCATTCAAATCTAGCTGGGAGAGTTGGCGCTACACCGCCCACATGCGCAGACACAGATGAAGCCTACACAGCGCGATGGACTCGACTCTGGTCTCACGTCTCTGCATGGTACGCCGCCCGACCGGCCGAAATGCTACCCATATCTTGCTTCTCGACCTCCGAATCCCCTTTTCCCAAGATCCTGTACAGCAACCCGGCCGCCATGTCTGGTAACCAACTCCATCATACGGCGTGTATCTTGCTGCTCCGACACAAGCCTTCAGGCGTTATCGTCACACCCAAGCCCAACTCCATCTTCTGGCACGCGCGCCAAATCTGCGGGATTTCGATTAGCAACGATGATCATGCTGCGTGGACGAATGCGATACAGCCGTTGTGGATTGCGGGCCAGTGGATGAGTCATGAGAGTGAGCAGAAGGCGATTTTGCAGCTGTTGGAGAAGATTGAGAAGCAATCGGGGTGGAGTACGAAGTGGAGGGCTGAGGATTTGAAGGAGTTTTGGGGATGAAAGATGCAGTTGGTGACTACTGTAGCCTTGTTGGGTCAGCCTTGTCTCTTTCGCGCGCGCGTGATTGTGTGGTTTGAAAGGGTTCCACACTGTCTGCTGATGCATACGCATGTGTTAGCATAACACACAAGGCTTCCAATGAGTGTTGATGCAGTTGGATGCAAGAGCTCAGCCTTGGTGCTCAGCGCCTATTCTTGAGATCCGCTCGTGTTCACGGGCTTGGCGAAATCTTTTGGCCCCCCATGTTCAGCCTCATAGCCTTGTGTATTGAGATAAAAGCTTTATTGTTACTGAGAGTTGCGACAGAAAATCATCCACAATCCGGCATCGATCTAGCCTTGCTGCAACTAGCATCTGTCAGTATGGGTAACAGCTTTGGTTTTTTAAGGACTGTATCTGGAAGTCCTTTCCAATTCGCCGTGGTAGAGGTTTGCCAGGCTGAGAACATCAATTTGACCCAGGCTTGCAACCTAACATTCAACGCAAACCACGAACTTTTTTCGATTGGTAATGTTACAAGGGGGACGATGGAGCCGCAACCTGGGATAGCTGGCATTGGAGTGAGTTGAAACAGATACCGGTAGATGTAGCACTAACGCTGTCAGATATGGTTCGCAATGGTGCCGTTCTTCGTCGTTGTAATGGTCGATGTGTTTATCGCATATACCAAAGTCTCCGGTTGGGTCAGAAACAAACGTGGCAAAGGTGTCGGGAACACGAACGCAGAGCCGTCTTGGAGAAATAAGATGCGCGCAGCAGGCCGAACAATTGTCTTGGGTGTTGCAGACACTCAGACCATCTTCGTAGGGGGGTTCCTGCTCAGTTTTGCTGGTCGGGATAAGTGTACGCTGACAAGCTACCACTTCACCGTAACCGCCAGTCAGATGCTGATTGCTTTGTCTGTTATTACGATGTCCGTCGCACTATTACGGAGTTACTGGCGGAATCCCCTTGCAGCAGCATTCCGACTGATTCTCTCCATTGGAGCTTTCATTGGCGTCGGTTTGACCATCTTTAGGAAAGCCAACTACGCCCCCTTCAACCCGATGCAGCTTCCGGGCAAGGATAGTGCCATCCTACTCCCAGTGGCCTGCTTGCTCGAAGGAACACTACGGTCTGCGGCAATAGAGCAGGAGCACAAGAGCCAGGCAGACCTCGGCTTCGGCACAGCACAACCCAACTGGTTGTGGCCAGCACCCGACAGGATCATGTTCATCGTCCTGGCTGCCGCCTGTTTTTCGGCGCACATTAACACTGCCATCCGCTTCCTATCTCGCAAATCCCGCAACCGCCAACCAAAACCTCGGTCGGGTACACACGACTTCTTTGTTTTTGTGTACTGGTTAGTCGTACTATTCTAGCCTATCTTCACGTCGATCTTTTGCTGGGTCCGCGTTTATAGGATGCGCAGCTGGGTGGACGAGTCTGGTTGGATGCAAAGTCCGAACACTGAGATGATCATCTGGGACTCTGGCGGATTGATCGCAATGGGAATCCTTATCACGATCTTCATGAACGTACTGACTGAGGCTTTTGAGAGAAAGAAGAAAGATGCAAATAAGGGAATTGAAGACGGGACGGCGTATAAGCAGCTTGTGTCTCGGGATCGTTCACCAATGCACATGAACGACCGGGGGTACAATCGTGGGCCAAATCGACCCTTCAACACATCCAGAGTAAGGTAGCAAGCTTTGAGGTAGTTGCCTAGATCATTAATGAGGTATTTGACGATAGAAAAGAGGATCAGTATCGCCTTCAAGCATTACCGTTGCCCGCCTAGTGTTTTGCGACGCTCATTGAATTTGTGCTTTGGTGCGCGGTATTGCTGCCGAAAAACTCGTGTGTTTTCCTGGAGAGAATGTATGTGCGTTGCTCAAGAGTCTGTAGATGTCCACGGTACCTGAGTGGAGGGTTGTTTTCGCGTCGTCTGGTAAAGCGGTGTTCACAATTCTGGTGGAGTGTTGAAGCGCGACGCGATGACGGCAGGTGCACGGACGTGTCGGGCGCGGCGTTGCTGACTACTACTTGGTTGCTCCATCATCATCACCACTCGACACTCGTCGAAGCTGGTCGAAGGCGAACACCTGGCTTCTCCCTTATAGACACGAATTACGACTCCCAGGGCACCACTTGTCTTTTAGAAGGATCACGATAACGCCCTGCGCTGGTCGAACGCTGCCTTTGCTGGCCTCGTCGACATTCACAATCATAATCATTGCGCGATACATGCACGACTAATCTGATACTCTCTTCGCAGTCTGGCCAACTAGCACCAACCTCGGATACAACGAGAGTACACCCTCACCTGGACTCCATCTGTTCACATCCCGATTCGTCGTCTCGGAATCGCCTCACTCGACGGGCCCCGCCACCATGTTCACGAGTTTCACCGGCAACACGCGAAAGGCGCGTCAGGTGAACCTCGGCGGAAAGAAGACAAACCCCTTCGGTCCTCCCGGCTCCGGCGCCGGATCCCAAGCCGCCCTCGACCGTGCACAACAAGATCGAGTGCAACGACAACGGGAACGAGATACGCTGAATGCGGCCAAGCGGATACAGAAGGTATGGCGGGGTCACTCCGCCAGGAGAGATGTGGCCGACGAGCTACGGGGGGCATGGGATCGGGCAGAAGAGTCGGGTGGCTCTTCGCATGCCGTGGCATACAGCTCCGAGGAGGAGGCCCTGGCCCAGCTACAACGGCTGCTCCGCTTCGCTTCCTCACGGAGTGATGACGATCTGAGACGGATACAACACTATGCATCGCGACAGATGGAAGCAGTCAAGAAGCTGGGCATTGCTTCGAGCGGACCATGGCCGTGGGCATATTTGAGGCTGCAGCGGATATTGCTCGTCGCTATAGAACGGCAGCTTCAGAAGACCTCGACAGTGCAATGGCAACAGATTAGACCCTCTGTGGTTGTGTTACACTTCCTCGCAGACCAGATACCCGCCGAAACGTCCCAAAACGCCCAAAACTTCTACCGCGCCCTCGCGCACGTCGTGTCCACATTTACCTCAATACTTGAAGCGCAAAGTGACGGATCAGATGTGAGCGAAATCATAGCAAGGGCAGCTATCTCGCCAATGAAGCGGGTAACCGGATACACACTAGACGCTTACGAAGCCTTTGGCATACATCTCTTGACTCTCCCGCTACTAGCATCAGACTCGACACCACCGTGCCTACACAAGTTCCGCGACTCGCTCGCCGACTCAATCAACTACAAATTGCTCGCAAACGCATTGGCAACTCTCTCTAAGAGGGCAGGACTGCAAAGCAAAGCCGAATTGAAGAGCACGTCAAGTCGACTGCGTTTGCTGGGAAACTTCATCTACTTTCACCGCTACGCTCATAACTTTGACACTCCTGAAGCGTACGCTATCCACAAAGATTTCGTAGCCGTAGTCTCCGTTCTATTGAACTCTCTACCAGTCAACATCGTTGACGATGGTCATCCAATCGCCGAGCTTTCGGAAGATGGTATCGAACAAGACTCCGAAATAGTGTCTGGTTTCTTGAAAGAGCAAGTCGGCTCGCTGGTACATCAGGAAGGCATTGGCAGTCTTCTAGCCGGATCTTCGCAGTCAGCCGAAGCTTCGGACGATGAGAAGGTTGATGAAGCACGCCAGCTCGCAAACTACGCCCTCGCATTACTTCGATTCTTCCCCCGTCGAGGTGACGAAATACGGATGTGGCTGTACATTGGTCCTTCGGAAGCATCTGAAAAGAGTACAAAGAAGCTTCCGGCGATCAGGTACTTCTGGGAGGCGTCGAAACGATCATCAGTCTTCAGCACAATCTTCAAGGACTCCAGGGCAGCTATTGGACTTTTGAAGCCAAAGTCAACGAACATGAACGGCTCCGACCGCCCGGGAACGTCTGGACTGACACATCACGGTTTCTGGCAGCCAGCGCAGCAGCAAGTCGACCGCGATGCAACCACTACCGATGAGTGGCGGGTTATCCTTGTGTTCTTGGAACTATACACCTTTGTGCTTAAAGTCACTGATGATGAGGAATTCTTCACGTCTGGACAAAAGGACGTATACTCTGGTCAAATCCGCGACAGTGGCTTACCCTTGACTGAAGTAAAGGATCTAACAACCTTCCTCAAGAACCTCGGTTTCACACTTTACTTTAACGCAGTAGACATTACAAATTCAGACGAGGACACTAGAAGCAATGGTACAAGTCTCAACTACTTCAATCCGCAAGTAATGGACAGCCAAGCCCAGAAAGAGCATGCTGAGCCATCGATAGGTGGTGTCGCAGGTTTGAGGATCGATTACGTGAAAGGTCTAGTCACTGGATTGCTCCGTATGGTGTACGAACGGGACTCGCGACGTAAGTTCCTGCCTGCAGACCACTGGTTGATGGTTTCGCGGTTCGACATGACTGGATTCATTCCTGCCGTAGTTGAAGAGGAGGAATCGCGACATAAGATCCAAGAGGAAGACGCAGACGATCTCGATGACCTAGAAGAAGAGGAGTTTGATGATACGCCACAGCTCATTGGCACTAGTCGAACGCAACAGCAACGACGCTTGGAGAAGCTACAACGGCAGCAGCGCAAGGCTTCGCGGAGACGGTACCTGCAAGCGGTGGCGCCTCGTCTCGAAATTTTGCAAAATATGCCCTTCTTTATACCCTTTACCACTCGAGTCCAGATCTTCCGCGAGTTTGTCAAATTAGACATGATCAAACGAAGAGGGTCTGCGGATCCAGAATTCTGGCGATTCAGAACGATGCAGCAGCCAAACGCACGAAGTCAGTTGGAGAAACATACTGCAAGGATCAGGAGAGAGAACGAGTTCGATGATGCTTTTGAGCAGTTTTATGAGTTGGGCCAAGGCTTGAAGGAGCCAATCCAGATTACCTTTATGGATCAGTTTGGCGCTCCTGAAGCTGGCATCGATGGCGGCGGAGTCACCAAGGAGTTTCTAACCAGTGTTACCAGCCGAGCGTTCATGCCAACAGACTACATTGACATGTTTGTCGAAAACGACCAGCACCTCCTTTACCCTAATCCAGCCGCCCTCGAAGAACACAAAGAAGCCCTCCGCCAAGCCGGCATCCGTGAGGGCTCTCAGGAATACCGCGCACAAATTACCGAGCTTCTCCAACGCTACGAGTTCCTCGGCCGCATCATCGGCAAATGTCTCTATGAAGGTATCTTGGTAGACGTCAACTTCGCCCCCTTCTTCCTCCGCAAATGGGCTCTAACAGGCGGCACGGGCTCCGCCCCCAACGAATCTGGCTACCGCCCCACGCTCAACGATCTCCGTGACCTAGACGAAGAACTCTACCAAGGCCTGCACAAGCTCAAAACCTACCCCGGCGACGTCGAAGATTTCTCCCTCAACTTCACCGTCACCGACACGGTTGTCGTTGACCACACAACCTCACCCAAGAAGACCAAAGCCATAACCAAGGACCTGAAACCCGATGGCTCCAACACCCCCGTCACTAATCAAAACCGCCTCGTCTACATTAGCTACATGGCGCGTCACCGCCTGCAAAACCAACCGTACGCCCAAACCGCCGCCTTCCTACGTGGTCTGAGTACAATGATCCAACCCTCGTGGCTCTCCATGTTCAACGCCTCTGAACTCCAAACCCTCATCTCAGGAACCCGCACACAAATCGACATTGACGACCTACGCCGCAACACCATTTACGGCGGCACCTATGTGATCGGCGACGACGGACTCGAACACCCCACCATCCAACTCCTCTGGAAAGTCATGAAGGAAATGAGTGACGATGAACGACGGGCTGTGCTCAAGTTTGTGACGAGTACGCCGAGGGCGCCGTTGTTGGGTTTCGGGACGCTGAATCCGAGGTTCAGTATTAGGGATGCGGGGAGGGATCAGAGTAGGTTGCCGAGTACGAGTACGTGTGTTAACTTGTTGAAGTTGCCAATGTATGAAGATGAGGAGACGCTGAAGGAGAAGCTTTTGTACAGCGTCTTCTCGGGCGCTGGATTCGATTTGAGCTAGGTTGGAATGTGTGTACGCGTGCGTGGCGGATTGGGAAGATGCTGGCAAGTAAGGGATGCAAGGAGGAAAGAGTGCTTATCTACATAAAGAAGAAGAGTATTATGTATAGATTATTCTGATGAATGGACTTATTAATAAGCACCCTTTTTCTTGCACACATCGTTGTACTCTAAACCTTAAGGATACCTAGCTCTCATGAGTTGATAATATGACCTTGCCTTGTTCCTCAGAAGATCTAGCAACCTCGGCATGAAAGGCGAAACGTCCAGGGTACGTTTCTTGAACCGGGGGACTAATTGGATCAATGCAATGTGCCACATGGACCGGGAGATCAAACTTCACTTGTGCAACGGCCCTTGACGCGACTAGTCTTGCTAGTATGCAGCCGTTAAGTTAGCTTACCCTTGATTGTTGCATCCGCCTTTTGGACAAGTTGACGGGCTGACAGGCGCCGTTGTGGTCTGTGTGGAGGGGCCGCCAGCAAAGTTATCCGGAGATCATTGCTAGTAGCGAAGTGTCGCACGATAATTTAGGAAACTTAGTCCGTAGCGCAACAAGGCAACTCTGGATACGAAGGGTCACACCGCCGTCAACTATAAGACTAGTAACGCACTACCCATACACACCGGAGAGGCGACATTTATTACTGCCCACAGTCAAGAGTAGCGGTGCGTTTAGTAAATTTCTTAATGTTCATACGTTCCATTGTACATGCACATGCAGTACTTAGCAAAGAGCTTCACTCCCACACTTTTCCCTTTGAGATGGCGTCATCCCTCAAAGTTTGATTAGAGGCGGTAGTCGGCTTTTCTTTGCAATCCATAGGTCGTCGGCGCTATGACGCCTTAGCCTTTCATGCCCGCGTTGTACGATGTCGGTCTAAGCTTTCTGTGCCAAGGAATTATCCGCACGATCATGTACGCTGCCCCTTCTCATAGTTGAGAACAAGCCGAATTTCCAAGTCAGGGTCTAGTGAACAAAGCATCATGTAGCTTGTTGGAACAACTTTTCAGCTGTGGGGTTCTTCTCTGGGTTGCCGTCGCTCAACGTGACTATATACGGGAGACAGTGCAAGAAGGATCGACAAGTTTGTACGAAAGTCCCGTTATATATTTCTCCCTCCCCTTCGTGTTCATGTTTGGTAGGGAGAAATACGATGTGCACGTCCCGCCGCAGGTTATATGATGCCGTTCCTAAAATAAACACGCCTCCTGCGTGATACCATGTCTATCCTCATGGTATCGCTGACGTCGGATACGAAGTACAGTGCTCTCTTTGTATATATAAGACCTTAATTCTCTGCTTTCCGAAAGAAATCACTCAAGCTTTCCATTTACCAAGCACAGTCGTTACCAACACCGACCCATCCACACCAATAAATCACCTACTTTAACAACAAGATAATCACCATGCGCTTCACCATCGCCACCATGGCCGCCATGGCCGCCTCCGCCAGCGCCACCGTACTCCCGCGCTCCGACCTCGGCGGCTGGAACGTATCCTACGTGCAGAGCGGCGGAGCTGACAGAACACACTCGGAGCATGTGTACGGTGTGTACGCCAACGCGGAGCTCGCAGACAACATTGCCGTCGACTGCCTCTCGCAGACGACGAGCGATGGTCAGGTTTTCTCTGGAAACGATCCTACTACCCTGACCTGCACTCCTGCGTCATTCAGCTACGTGTACAACACCGCTGGTATGTGTGCATATCTCCTTCCAGAACGCTCTTTCGAGTCGTTGAGCGTGCTCGTCTCTTTATGGTTGTCGGTTTGCTGACTAGACTTGCGATTAGATTCTACTTTGACCCTGACGCAGACTGTGGAGCTCAGCGGTACTAATGTTACTGTTATGGGTACCTCGCAGCCCTTTACTACTAAGCTCGATCCTATTCGCGGAAAGGGTGGTTCCGCTCACAACATCACTTTCCAGGCTACCACTGGTGTGGCGTAAATGCCTTGATCTGAGACTTGCAAAGCTTTGCGGGAAGGGAGGTGTAAAGAACCAGACGGATTATGTAGGGGTCAACAGTTGGAATGTACGTCTAAAGGGGAGAAAAGTGGGACCATCATGGAAGGCAATATCATCAAAGACAGAGACGAAGGAAGTTAATAGCTTGACAAGATTTTGGAATTGAGTTCCCCATTTGCGGTCGCTCTTTCGTTTTTGAGATGTGAGGTTTTCCACTTGGTTGACGTCGAAATCTATGTAGATATCGCGAGAGTAGACGGTGGCACTGCGCACCAGCCACCCATGAAGGGATATTGTGAGGACCGATGTGACAATCATTGTAGAGACAGAGCTAGAGAGTGTAGTGCAAATCGACGTTGTGGCTCGGATGCATGGCGACATTTAAAACTTCTATCGTGGGTTAGCGCACTTTTCTTTTTTGTATGAATTCTATCCATTGCTCTTTTGCTGACTGTATTGGCCAATATGTTCACATTTGCTGAGAGAACAAATTTAATGACGAGAACCAGATTGACGGTTGTAAGGCGCTAGCGAACGCGCTGCTTCTAGAGTGGCGTCCCCCAGTCCAGCGAGCTGCAGACATAAACCACCATATCTAGTAACTTCTAAACTGACCATCGATTGCTTGTCACTCAATGCTGTGTAACCACTGCCTAACGCACTGCATGTACTGTACCTAGGTAGTCTGCATTGGAGTACAACATCTGCAGTCATCAAACCGACCCCACACCCATCTATCGAACTTCAATATGGTACTGTCAGATTCGCCATCAGAATTGCTGCAACGACCAAAGAGCCTCACAGAAAGAGCTGGTCTCTTCACGCCAATGCTACGGTAATCGACATCTTGGTCAACCTTCCGAGTTAGGTAAGTGGGGCAAGCGAACTGGCAAACCTACCATCTGCGCAAGCGTGCATAGTAGTGCATCGAATCGCCTGCAGAGCAGGGGCAATCAACTTTACGGCGAGACAGGTCAGGATGTTTTCAGTCAGACAACCATCATCCGCACTCATCGCATCATTACAGTCGAGTATGGTTTTGACACAGACACGCTAATCCTCACCCGTCGCACGCGAAGATTGTGATCACCGAAAATCGAAAAGCGCACCGCGATGTCGCCTGTATATTGTGTACACTAGGACTAGAATGTAGCGCATCGTCATGAGTCTCAGCTACATGTATGTTCACCGACGTTAACACGATACTCACCAGTCAGCGACGCTAGTCGTCGTATAGGCTTTCGACAACGAAGACCCTCGCTTCGAGATATGGCGCCTCATCTAGCTGCAACAGCTACCTACGCATACAAGCCTCTCGCTGCGCGTCGCATCAGGCTCCTTAAGCTACCCAAAGATATTGATTCTCAATGTCAACAAGCGCCTGCTCTTGTAGATGTATCGTTGGATACGCCACCCGCATACGAAACGGTCTCCTACGTATGGGGCGAGCAGATCAAATCATGCCTCTTCAATTTCAGCTTCGGTACATCGGTTGCAGTCACTCCAACTTTACGCACCACGATTGAGCGACTTCGTCCACATTGCCAAACGTGCTACCTTTGGGTCGACCAGCTATGTATCGACCAAGCTAGCATCCCGGATCGCAATCAGCAAGTAGCTCTTATGGGCGAGATTTATAGCAACTGCCAACGCGTGATGATCTGGCTGGGACAAGAAGTGCAGAACTCCGGATACCTGGCATACTACTTCAACGACGGACTACCCCCAAAACTTCAGCGAAAGACAAATCATACGCGCGTTTCGTCCTCTCGTTTGGAACAACCTGATGCACAATCCTTTATCCGGTTCTTACTAGCACTGACGTGGTTTACCAGGGCGTGGGTGGTGCAAGAGGCCGTATTACCTCCCAAAGCATCATGCTTCCTCGGCCCTTTCACCTTCTCCATCGAGGACCTCTGGGCCGTTGTAGTCCATCACAGAGCCGCAGAGCGCTACTTTGTACAAATAGACTATAGCAGCATACGCCAGCATCCCGGATATTTCGTGCTGAATGAGATTATGCGCCTGCGACAACAAGAGCGATACCGGAGTAAGAGAACGCACAACCCAGCAATTTGCTTCTACCACTCACTGTCCATCTTTGGTCCGAGGTGTATGACGACGAGTCGGCACGATATCATCTATTCCTTCTTGGGATTACAGAGAGATCCCCGTGTGCGCATCGTACCCGACTACGATCTGGACTGGAGTGTTGTGCCTGTGATAGCGACGAGCACGATTTGCGAGGCGACAGAGAGTTTGAATCTGTTTGGTATGTTGCACCGAAAAGCAGGTGATGAGAGTCGGTGGCCGAGCCTCCCGTCATGGGTGCCAGATTGGTCGAGAAGACTAGAGGCTGAACCCATGGTGTTTCCTCGGAGCTGGATGTACTTCAACTCTGCGTCTGGAATGGCGCACAAAGCTAGGAAACCCAGTGGTCTACCCGCATCACATCTCGTAGTCCGGGGAAAGATTATCAGCGAGGTGGCGCACACGTTTCCTTTCTCCCGGGGCGGTGGAGAGCCGCTTGCGAATCGCCATGGATGGGATGTTTGCTCTTACCTCAACATACGGCGTTTACATCATCTCCTGAAGAAGACATGGCCAAACGATACGACAGCCCCGCCGATAGTGCGTCTTCTGAAAGTCATCTTGGCCGACGGCTCTTTCACGCTGAACCAGAAGCTACGAGAGCATTGCAGCGAAGGCTTGCTAGATTCTGATATTGACGAGTTGGCTGCAACGTACTGGTTCCTTGAGTCCCTGGTGAAACAAGAGGACACCGAAACGACGGATCGCCCCAAGATGGATGATGACGATATGATGGGGAAACGAGCGACTAGACTGCGTGACCATGCCCGCGTAGCCTGGGGAAGACAACTGATAGTCAGCCGCGATTGGAGACTAGGGCTTGCGCATGTAACAGCCCACGAGGGAGACGTGATTTGTATCGTCCACGGTTCCAAAGTACCGCTCATGTTGCGCCGCCTTCAGAGTGGACGTTACCGCTTGATAGGCCAGTGCTACTTTGAGAGCGCCATGCGCGGTGAAGAGGTCACTTGGGGTGAAGACGATGCAGATGAATTTATACTTGAATGAGCAATACTTACTGGCCTTCCAAGACGTCTTCTGGCATTGAAACCTCGTCCGGCGACGTGCGAACGAACTACTCGGTCGCAATGTCTCGTGATGGCTGCACACATGCTGCACTTGAGATTCCGTGGTTCCGCTAGCTATCAATGGCTAGCGGAGCAGGTTTCTTTCCCGTGTAAACCTCTCTCCATGGTACTGCGTGGACCCATGGGCGACGAGCCAATTATGGACGCGCACAAAAGCATATCTATTCCCACTGCAGAACTCACTCACTCTTCCCATCACGATCCATCTTCACCCGTGCTCCTCCTCCAAATCGTATCAACACGATGGATTTTGCTAAAAAGCAGTATATGAAAGGAATCGCGCCGCGTTCTGTTCCAACACAAGAAGGCAGCCTTGACCATGTTCTAGACGTCTTGGTCTTGAACAATCGTCCCTTCTTGCTCGTCGGATGCGCAGCACAGCGATGGATGGGGTCCAACGGAACCATGACGGACGTGTGCGAAATTGTAATCCGGAACGACGCCTTGAGCGCCATCGCTTCGGACCTACTTGCGACAGGAGAATGGGTGGGGGTCAAAGAATCCAAAGCACAAGCGTCTGCTAGACAGGACGATCCGATTTCCAAGTGTGACGCCGACGTCGTGTTCCGGCGGGTGCACATTGAGAACGGGAATGAGTTTGAATGGCTGGCTCTCTGGTCCGAAAACAGCTATCACATCAACGTGGATGAATGCGCTAGGATCCGGGTTCCTGATGTGTACTCCTGGTCGCCCATATTAGTCGAAGATAGTTGGCACCCAGCCATGCATCGAGACAATGGTTGGTGGTATGGCCCCCGTGTGCATCCCGACACAAAAGTATCGAATCCTGCCAGCGCCCATCCGAACGCGATATTCTTCTCCTCCCTCCCTCGAGGAAAAAGCGCTGCACACGCGCATTGTATCCACATACCAGCTCTTCCCGCCTATATCGACGCATTGGTCTACCACGTGACACATTACAAGGCAACCAAGCCGGGACTCTGGGCTCTTTCGTCGTGGCAGCTTCGGAATCTGACCCGATATTTATACTTGGAGCTAGACCATCAGCAGCTACCGCTTTTGATAGAAATGGAGGAATATGAATATATGGAGAGTTACCTCAAGAGATTCGTCAGGAAGCCGAGGTTCGTATATCGTGTCGACGAGAAAGGTGAGTTTGAGGCGACGAGGGTGAGAGAGTGGGATCCGGAGAGTTATCCAGCGTGGTGTCGGGTCAGCAAGTAAGGGGAATAGATGTGAAGTTACGATGTCATAATTCTTCACCGCATGATGATGATCGATCGAGGTCAAGTTGTTGTGTTGGATCATGAGAATGATATTACAATGATGAAACTAATATTACAAAGATGAAAATAATACAAAATCCTCCTCCAAAAAGATGGCAGATAAAACTAGTGCCTCCCACCACAACAGCCCTCTTGCCACCTCCTTCAACACAACCACCGCATCCCTATCCAGCTTTGGGAGAATTGAGCCTCCCTTAACCGTCGCCTTCAACAGGTATCTGAAGTCCAACCAGTCTCCATCCTCACCCCGCCCAACCACCGTCACACCACGCAATATGAGAAGATCCGCCCGGGACGCGAGGAACCCATCGTAAAAGGGTTCGCAAGCGGCGATTGAATCCACGAAGCCGCCACCGAATTGTAGAAGCTCGAGGTTAACGATAAAGCCTTGGCGGCTTCGGAATTCAATCGTTTGCAACGAATCTTGAGTTTTGAATTGCGTGGTGCCGCTCGCGATCTTGTTTTGGAAGCACAAGATTGCTTCTAGGGATGCCGCCACGTCCACGTCGTCGGTATACTACTTCGAGCCATGGAATACGCTGGCGGCACCCCCGATTGCTACGAAGGATGAACGCAATCGGGGCGGGAGGAGGCGGGTGGCTGAGAGGAAGCAGTCGAGGAGAGCTGCTTCCATGTCGGGGGAGATGAGCTTCGAGGAAGGCATGTTGAAGGCGACGGCCCTGGGAGGGAGAAGAGTCCCAGAGCTGGAAGGGTGCAGTGGAAGTGAAAGAAAGGGTGGGTCGAGGAGTGTTATGATGGGGATGGAAGAATGCCGGGTTAGCAATCTAGAGTTGGCGTAGTTAGCTCGGAATGAAGGACGTCAGAAGAGCGGAGGATACTTACGGAAATGATGTCGATATGAATACAGGCGTAACGGTTTGAATAGAAACTATACAAGACATGTTAATAGGATATCAAGGTTGGAATGTGGTGTCATACTGTTCGATATCGTGCCTGTGTGTAGAGAAGAAAGGAGAGCAGAGATCAGAAGAAGAAGGATATACGTTCCACATCGCAATCAACTCTTTCCATGCTTTGGAGTGTTGTTGCCATGAGGACTTCATGTCAACATGGAACCTGCTTGATCCTTTACCGGATGGAAGCTACACTTCGCCAGTTATAGCTACTACCAGCCAAGTCTTGCGTATGTCAATTCACCGCGTCAGTGCAGTCTGAAGGTCTCGGTGTATTACCATCCTAACAACCTATGTGTAGCTGCGATTATCGCATGCTATAACCCCCCCGTACTCCAAGTCTGATTCAAAACACCAGTCTTGGACAACTCAAGCCACAATCTAAACGCAGAAGCCTCCGGTCAAGCTCCAAGAACCATTTCACCCCCAGCCCTCAACCCTCGTCCGCAGCATCGCGCATCTTCTCCATATCAATCTCGCCAATAACGCCCTTCAACAACTCGGGCACAATCTGCGCGGCATCGCCCTGGAAGAACCAGTCGCCGTCGTACAGTCCGCCCGCGGGCACGTCATTAGAATCCATATTGATAATCGCCACGCGCGCGCCTTTACTGCGCGCCAAGTCGACGTAGCCCGCCGCGGGATAGACCTTCGCACTCGTGCCAATAACCATGATGAGATCGATACCCGCCTTGTCCGACACAAAGGCATCGACATCCTCCATGACCTTCTTGGGCAGGGCTTCCCCGAACCAAACAACGCCGGGACGGAGGAGGCCGCGTTGACACTTGGGGCAGTGGGGCAGGTGGTTGTAGTCCAATTCAGGAATGGCGACGTTGGCGTCTGCAATGTCTAGTTCGCGGGCGGATGTAGTAGTGGGGTCGAGGGGTGCAGAGGAGCCGTCGTCATCGGCGGTGGGTATAGCGAGAGCGGGGACAATGGGATCCGTGTAGTTATTCTTCTCGACATAGTTGCAGAAGAAATCTGAGCACTTGACGTCGAAGAGGGAACCGTGTAGTAGCTTGAGCTTCTCAGCTGGATGCTGTGCGCGGGGCGATAGGCCTGGTTGGTAGTCGCATTAGCTATACACGCGATAACGCTATACACGCGATAACGATAGAAAGGAATCGGGGTACGATGCTCACCGTCGACATTCTGACTCAGCGTGATGAAGGCGTCCTTCTTCCTCGCTAGCTCTGCGAGGGCGTAGTGGGCGGGATTGGGCTTGGCTTGGAGTGCCATATGTCGTCTGTAGCTGTAGAATTGCCACACGAGCCCTGGGTCGCGCTCGAATGCGCCCGGCGTGGCCAGTGATGTCGCGTCATGTGTCCTCCACAAGCCGCCAGCGCCTCTGAACGTCGGCAGGCCGGAAGAGGCCGACAGTCCTGCGCCCAAGAGGGCGAGGATGCGCGTTGAATTGGCGAGGTGCTGTTGGAAGCTTTCGAGGTCTTTTGGCGGGACGGCGCTGGGTTTGGCGGCCGTGGTGGCCATTCTGCGGATGAGGGTGGGGAGGATCACGGTGACGGGCGGGGGGATCACGGTGACGAGGGCGGCGGTCTTCTTCTTCGCAGACTGTGTATGCGAAGAGAGGGACGGTTTGGTGGTGGTACTGGTGTCATGTATGCGTTGTTTGTCCGACACATCGGGTGGCAGAGATGGGGGCCTGGAGGTGGTTGCGGGGGAAGCTGCAAGGTACGACGTCAGCTCTCTTCCCCACTAACTGCAATGCCCGCTAGCTAGCGCTGCCCACGACGTCGGGAAACGCCATGATCTCTCCGACGTCCGGTAAACACCATGACTGTTGGCCTGAGACTGCTCCGGCCCACGACGCGGTTGGGGTTTGTTGGTGTTAGGTTGGAGGGACGACTGTGGAACACAAGGACACAATGGAACACGACGCGGAATACAACGAGGAATGCGAGAACGTATTCTGCCGTACCAGCGTCTGAACTCCGATTTGGCCAACCGCTGCACGAAACGCATCCACACCTACTCAAGGCTGGGGAAGGTGATGACCACCCGGGGAAACTCTTGCCCGCTACTAACACGTCCCAACAGTGACGCCCGGCATCACCGCCCTCGAGTACCACCACCGTCGCTGCGCCCTCGCCAAAGAAATCCCCCCAAACTCGGCCGCCATATTCGCTGCAAACGACCTGAAATATGCTTCCGGCGCCGTCTTCTACAAATTCCACCAGGATCCTGATTTCCTCTATCTAACCGGCTTCAAGGAACAAGATGCGCTGGCCATCATCGAGAAACACGAGGGCGAGGATTTCACCTTCCACCTCTACGTGCGGCCCAAGGACGCGCGCGTCGAAGCCTGGGAAGGCCCCCGCTCCGGCTTCGACGCCGCAACAGATGTCTTCAACGCCGACGTCAGCGGCAGCATCGACGACCTCCCGCGCCTCCTCCCCGACATTGTAAACCGCGCCCAGGCAATCTACACCGACCTCCCCCAGTCCCGCGTCTCAAAGAACCTGTTATCGCGCTACCTCTCCGGCGCAGAACCCTCGCGTACGGGCGGCATCTACACCGTGTTCCGCGATGCGCCCGCCTCCATTCGGCCCCTCCGCCCCCTCGTCAACGAGCTCCGTCTTATAAAATCCGAAGCTGAGATCAAGAACATGAGGCACGCGGGCCAGCACTCTGGGCGCGCTATCACAGATGCGATGCGGCAGTCGTTTACCCGGGAAAAGGATCTAGATTCCTTCCTGGACTACTGGTTCAAGCAGGATGATTGCGACGGCCCGGCCTATGTCCCCGTCGTCGCGGGCGGCATCAACGCAAACACCATACACTACGTCTCCAACGACATGCGCCTGAACCCCAACGAACTTGTTCTCGTCGACGCGGGAGCGCAGTATGGTGGCTACGTCACAGACATAACGCGTACATGGCCTGTCTCAGGCAAGTTCTCGCCAGCCCAACGCGATCTCTACAGCTTGTTGCTTGCCGTCCAACGCTCGTGCATCTCCCTCTGCCGCACAGATTCGCACTTTACCTTGGACAAACTACACCACACAGCTTCCAACTCGCTCGCTAGCGGGCTCAAAGATCTAGGCTTCGATATGACGAGCACTACAGACGCTATACAAACGCTGTTTCCCCACCACGTCGGTCATTATGTAGGCTTAGATGTACACGACAGCCCTGGTCTGAGTCGTAGCAGAAAATTCGAGAAGGGCATGTGTGTCACTGTTGAGCCGGGCATTTATGTGCCCGATGATGAGCGCTGGCCCAAGTGGGCGAGGGGAATGGGCATGAGGATTGAGGATAGCGTTTGTGTGGATGAGGAGAGTCCGTTTGTGCTTACGACGGAAGCGGTCAAGGAGGTTGTTGATATTGAGGCGTTGAGGTGAAGAGGGGGCGGGGGAAAGGGTCCAACTTCAGATACGATAGACAGAGAGAGAGCTGAACCACACAAAGCGGACTCTGCAGTCTCGTTCATCGCCACTATGAAATTGTTATGTCTCCTTTTATTCCTCCCTTCGTATTCCTGTTACACTTGACTTCTCCTAGACCATTACATCTTTGTATACTTGCGTAAATCCATGTCTAACATTAACCGAACTTGTTTTAACCGATACGATTGGGGCAGCAAGCGAATGTCCATAATAACATATGACATTTTTCTTCTCCTTGTTCTCTTTCGTCTCCTTCTTCTCCTTTTCTCTAGTCTTTTGTCGCTATTTCGTTAGACGGTACCATCGCTTCCTTGACATATAAACATGGTGTCGCGGTAGCCGAAACCCGTCACAAGAGAGCAGCGCCCCTGGGGCTGTCTGGAAGCGCAATCATGGTCCTGACTGAAACATAACGACGGAAGATTTTTTTTCCCGTTCCATGCACTGTGTGTTCGCTTGTCGTCTACATACTGTCCGCGACGGCGCATTATATTCTGATTACTAGACCTGGTGTCGCCAGTGTCGGTTGTTCTTGTTATCGTTGTTGGCGGGCCTCATTGGGCAAGAGCATGATTAAGCATCATTGCTAAACCCAGCACACGAGCTGATGCGGTAAAGAACCGCCATATTTCCCCCTTTCTTTTCGCCCACTGTGTGGGTTTCATTGTTGTTGTTGTTGTTGTTGTTGTTGTTCTTCTATCGCGCAAAACATCACCATCCCTCCCCGCACCTCACAACGCATGAAAATGGTAGTTCCCAAATCCATCCATCTCATACCTGAACAGCTTGTCGGTTGGCTGATCGTTATCAGGCCACGGCAAATACTTTGGATCGACTTTCCCCGCTGCGGGTTGCTGCAGCACCATGATGACCTCATCAGGAAACGCATCCGCTATGTCGGGCCAAACAAACGGGCTACTCGTCTTGACGATCGAGTAGATGAATTGGTAGGCGCGCGAGGCTAGCGCATTGGTGTCGCACATGCCACGGAGTAAAGAGACGAGTCGGCGGGCGCTGCGGATGGAGGCGGGGAGGGAATCGCGGAAGTGGTCCGGGCAGGATATGGCGATCATGAGAACGGCAAGTGCTTGCATGACTGTTTGGGGAAAGAAGAGAAAGGGCTTAGTAAGTGTAAAGGAACAAGGAGCATAGTGCGGAAAGGTAATCAACTTACTATTATGGACGATTGTCCACCACGGCCCTTTCTCGTACAGACTCTTTATGTCAGGCTCCGATGCTAGGAGCGAGGTGACGTCCTGTGCCGCTCGTACACACGTATCCGCTACTGACTGATCCAGCGAATTGAAGTCGTCTGTCCCTGCTTCAAAACATCGTTCGAGGCGACGGAGCGAGGGACGAGTAGATAATATCTTCAATCGGTAGTACTGAAGCTTGAGCAAGAATCCCTCCCGCTGCTGCTGCCTGTGAGCGGGATTCCATTCCTGAGAATGGAGCTCGGGGAGGTGGTCGACTGCCCACTTGTCGAGATCACCGACTAGTGAGACGGCAGATTGCTGCAGGTAGTCCCAGGATGGTGCTGATCTACGCTGCGTGTACAGGTTGGAGATGATTTGCTGGGTCAACAGGTTCAAGTTGGTATCGGCGTCTAGGAAATCGAAATTGACTACGCCGGTGGCACGTTGCGTCTGGTCTGAAGTAAGGACGCCAGGGAGAGGCGTCGTAATATCTTCATTGGGTATGATACTCGGCCGGCCCGTAATCGAGCTGAGGAGGCTCTCCAGGGAATGTAGGCTCCACCAAGTGCATATCATACTTTGCCTTTGGGCGGCGGAGACGGTCTGGTCGTCGTGTTGGACGTGCAGTCCGAGCGAAAAAGCCGCTCGCATCGCTATGCCTACCATTACCCAGGCCCTGCCGACCACTTGTCAGCATACGGCGTACATTGGTCAGAAGCGTTCCTTGGTGGAAGAAAGCAAATTGAGCCCAGTCCCAAACATGTTGCAATACGTACCGATTGACATGACCGACAGTCATGTAATAAACCGCAAAGAGACCCGCAGCCTGCAAGCGTTCAGCGTCGCTCAGATGGGATTAGCGCAACAGAACTTGCCTGCGTGGTAAGGAGATCTGGGGCTGCCAAGACGACGATGGTGTCATTCATACTAAGCAACTGAAACGCGCGCGAAAGGTAGATGACGTGGTCAAACTCGTCGGCTCGCCAGTCGGCCTGGATAAGGTGGGAAAACTTGGCGCCTATGGCGAAGACGAGGTTCACAAGCGCAAACCATTTTTCTGGGCAGTGTACCGCCTGGCCGTTGCGGACCAAAGTGTAGTACTGATGCAGTTGGTGTTCGATCGTTACTGGAAGGATGGGAAAGGAACTCTGGACGGTCTGGGTATAGCATTGAAACAGAAGCGCTGCAGTTTGTTCTGGCGGTAGCTCAAAAGGATTCCCGCAGTTTGTGATTTTGATGCCTTCGTCGTCAAGATAGTAGTTGGTAAGGGAGGTTGGTTGAGGTGGAGTTGCGGAAATAGACGCGGGTGATGCATCGAAAGTTGGCGAAGGTGGCCGAGAGAGCTGCGTGGCGGTGTTACCTGGACCAACAAAGACGGTCTCGACGGCCTGCACTCTACTTCGGAGACTCCGTAGCCATTGTACTTCGGAGATCTGACCCAGGAAGCCTGCTTCAACTACATTAGGCTGCTCGCCTCCTTCATCGCCAGATTCTTCGGGTACAATACTGTCCAGTCGTGAGAGAGGGGATTGGTCAGATGTGGACGATGTTTCTGCTGCGATTGACACATAGCTAGAGGATGAGGTAGAGGGTTGCATGCGCAAGTGTTGTTGGTACTGGTGAGCGGTGGATGCTCGTGAAGAAGAGGATATGGAGACGGGAGACCCGTCCCCGTCATCTGACTTTGCGGAATCAATTACACGTGCGATACAGGGCCAGTGGGAGTATGCTTACATCCTGCAGAGCATCTTCAATCCTGCGCCTGTCATCATCGCTAACGCGCAAACTGAGGTCTTTCAGGACAGATACAAGGGCCTGATTGCGATCTTTGGCACTGCAAGAAAGTCAAACTTGGAACCGTGGAGCAAGGCAAAAGCACTGACGTTGCTAGACGATCTTTCCGGGGGCGTTCGTAAAGACATGTCTTGTCTGTCTTCTCGCAGTAATTGCAGCGGGGAAGGCCGCCGCTACACTTAATCTCTAGCGTGGGAGTGTCAGATAGTGATCGGGCGCATGTAGCTTGGGCATGGTTATTGAAAACCCACTCCTTTTATGGCAGTTTCGACAGGCTCGTTGTACTCTATCTCTATGTCGAGACTTGGGAGTTATGGGTGGCGGGGCGCGTCGGGCTGGCAAGCGTGGAATGGCAACCTTAAACTGCGACCCATAGGGACCAGCTGTTGGGGGACCAGGTCGCCTGTCGTCTTGCATCGGGCCGCTCGCGGAAACTCACGCTGCGTGGTAAGGAAACCAGAATCATTTCAGCGCATTTCAAACTGTGTTCGTGCAGATAACCGCCTGCGTCATGAGGGATCAGAGATTGGGGATGAACACCGCGGCTTGGCGGGAGGACGATTGAGGTGATTGGTCTCGGTGCAGAACACCGCTTGGCCAATGCTAAACCTGCCCGCGCCTTTGCCCTGAGTCTTGAGCTTGCGCCGCTATTACAGGGGCGTGAATGGGCTAAGACGGCGTCGCACCACGACTTGTCGACATGTACATGGCAATCATGGCCTCTCGCTCCGGTTGCGAAGGAGCTTCGTCTACCTGCAAACTTCCAGGATCCGCATGTGCTAGTCGTCGGGCCCCCCTGCCGTGGTCCCCTTTATCGTTCTGCGGCGTCGCGGCTCGAGTTGCATAATGCACCATCGAGGGCTCGCCCTAACCGAAGCGAAAATTCCCCATCGGTGCCGGAAGAAGTCGACATGGGATTCAGCCCTGCCATTGAGAGATTTCGATCCGGTTCGGCACATCCTGCCCGTGACGTTAGCACTGCAGTTCCATGCGCTGGTGATTCGTCAGCGCTAGTCATTTCCAGCTCAAGTACGTAGCTCGATTCGAGATAACCTTCACCGTACTTTACCGAGGTTTCTTGGTGGTTTCTCCTAGAGTTCGCCTAAGCACGCCGTCTTCGTGCCGTTTAGCATTACTGTTCCCACTCTAGGCTGAGCGAGACGGAGACGTAAGCGGAAACGCTCACCCTCTCAACACTATACCTACCTCTGTTAGACGGTGGAACATTCTAGTGGATGTTGCATTACGAGGCATCGTTGAGGCTCTTTTCCTTAGCAAGTCAGATACCACAGACTCAAAAGGGAACGAGGAACGACTGTCACTCTCGGGCGGCGAGGAAGCGGCACGGTAGTGCAAAGCGCTACACGATATCGCCTAGCAGTTAGAACTAGGAACACGTGGGTGCGCATCGCTGGCAAGGTTAGACGCCTATATCGCGCAAGGAGCAGGATCAACCCTCCTCTCCCTATGAGATGAAGGAAGAGCGAAAAGGAAAGAAAAAAACCAAAGGATAAACTCAGCTCGTGAGCTCAGAGGAACTCGGCACGGGTTTTGAGCAAAAACACCAAGCTGGAGGTTGGGTCAAGGGTATCTCACGGCGAATCCTGTCGAAGATCATGCTGGTGAGGTGTCCGTGTGCACGAGTGTGTTGCAAAGACGCTACATTGGTTGCTGCTTTACTAGCATTTCGTACGAGAATGGCCTGCTCGCCTTGTGCTTTTGGTGATCGAAGACGCGATGTCGCAACTGTGAGGTGAGTGTTGTTTGTGTTGCGTTGATACAGGGTCTCACTAACGTGGCTACGAAAGAGCAACGAATGGGATGGGGTTCTTGAAAAGAGGCATCTTCTCGATATGCGAGATTAGTTTTGGCAAAAACGACTTGATTCAGGAATGATCGCGATCCTCGTATGAACACGCTCATTGGCTTCTTCCCCTCGCTCAGACATACTCCAGCCAAATCCCGCCAACATCACTCTCACCTTCTCCACTATCCAGTCTCTCCCGGGTACCTCCCGCCTTGCCAGCCTTTGCGTCTGTCACGAGGACGACATCTCCATACCAGAATCCCCGCTCCGCGATGCGCTCCCGCTCTTCCTCGTTCTTCGGCAAGCGTAGCACAATTTCCACACCACCCTTGGGCTTCTCAACTTGCTGCACGCGTCCAAGCAAGAAACTGATTTCCCCATAGTCTTCTCTCCCAGCATAACCAATGATGCTTTCATACACAGTCTTTGTCTCGTCGAGCATAGCCTGATCCCGCACAATGATGCTGAATTGTCTGACCCCCAGCGCGCCACACGGATGTGCAGTCCTCGCCTTATCCAGCGGCACGCGAACATTACGCGGCGTGACATCGTGGCAGAAGAACGGCACCTTGCCTCTGATACCCTGACCTCCCTTCTCTCCTTTGGGAAAAGTGACAGCCCACGCTACATCAACCCCATCAGCTCTTTTCCTTCCGCCTTTGATCGGCTCTGAATAACTCTCTGTCATCCATGTGCGGTTCTTCTCAGGTGTAAGAGAATTTGTCAGGCACCAGTCTTTCCACCCTACGAAGTCGGCGTCTGGACCCCACCAATGGTCGCGTGCGAGGGACGGATTGATAAAGGAGATGAGCTCGATGTAGCATCCGTCCGCGAGAAGTATCAAGACGTTCGATGTGGCGCCATCGGCGTGGAAGCCTCCCGGGGTGAGTGTGAAGTTGTTTGAGAAAAACGGTGGTACTTCGGGTAGTTGCGTGGTCGGGTTGGCAGGGACGAAGAGGATTAAATGGTCCAGACATTGCTGTAATGGAGCCATGGTGAAGTGGTCTACCCGGTAACTAGCTTGGGTATAGGAATAACAACGCGCTTTAATACCAAAGCATAGTCATACGAGATCTTTCGTGCTGATATGTGAAAAGATAGTGCACGCACGTGGAGTCATCGCATTTGGCCGAAACGGCAGAGATCTACGGCGATTGCGGAGGGGGTACTTAGCTTCAGCCGTCATTGTGCTAGACCTGTGCATCGCTTGCTGCTTCTTTGCCATGTTGTCTATAGCGACAAAAAGAGAGTGGAGCTCTCAAGACTTCGGAGTCTTCTTTGTTGTGGGTACAGAAGGATGAGGGCGCGTGGTTCGACAGGGAACAATGGTGGGGCGGATCAAGCCGCTTCACACCAGCCGGCTGCAGCAGCTATCCTCGCTTGGAGCAAAACACTCTCGTATCATAGCCATTGCCGTTCCTATTGCATCAGCTGTGCATGCAGGCTCCGCGCATTCTGCCATTCTCGCGCAATTGGCCGCCATATGCACAGCGCATGTAGGATCAATCAGTGTAGGCCATACAGTGCCCTGTTGGTGCTGCAGGCCGCCCAACATGCGTTCATTATCGTATCTGACTTCTGCGCGGAGCGGGGTTGTCTTGCAATCGTCTGACTTTGCGATGGACGACGCGTCGTTGCGTTACGTGCTTTGAGCCTATAAATTGAAGACTGGAGGAAACGCGACAGTACAGCGATGCACGGCGACTCAGATGACAACGTCGGCCGAGTCGGCGCTGACGATGGTGACGCTCAAGCAGAGATCAGAGTACCGTCATCAGCCGTGAGGCCTCATGCAGAAGACAAGGTCGAGTCTTCTGAGGATGAAGTCGTCTGGAAAGGTCGATCGACAGGTCAGACCACCCATCTTCCTACGAAGAGATCAACCAAAAGTCGAACTACTCCAGGCGCAACGCCTTCGGTCGATCCGGCGTCTGACCATCGAGCGCGGCGAAGCGAGGCTACGAAGAACAGGATGACAACACCGAGTTACTCCTACCCATATTCGTCTGGGTTATACCAGCCGTATGCGCAGCCTTTCTGGCCACATTCGCCCACTTATCCATTGATCTACCCACCGACCTACCCTCTGAGCTACCCGTCGGCCTACCCGCGGTTTTATGCTTCGCCTGAACCATACAAGGATGCTGATCCGATGATTCAAGATGGTCTGTCGCAGCAAAATACCCATCACGGAGAAACGTCGAAGTCCAGAAGTAGAAGCGTGACATTTTCTCCTGAAATCGCAACAATGGGCGAAAAGCCGCAGAAGTCGAGCAAGATAATATCAGAACCGACGAAGAAGGGTAGATCCAAGGAGAAGACGAAAATACGACAAAAGCTTTTATCGCCGCCCTCTGGCCCCGCCCACCACAAAATCGACAAAGTAGACTCAATCAAAGGCGAAGATACAACGATACTCGATTACTCTGACATACATCCATCAATAGTGGAGGAGCAGTCGGATGATTCTACCTCGCACTTCATGTATGAAGATCCTACGCCTCCGTCTCATAGCAGAGGGCGCGCTGCCAGTGTCACGCCAGCACATCACGAAATGGTTCTCTACAAAGACCCACGAGTTTCAAACGTTGCTGAAGCAGCTCAAGAGCACATGGCCAATCCGCTGTACCCACTCCACTACAATGCCATACACAGCGAGCCTCTTGCCAGTCGTATCGAACCCCATAGATTCTCTCTCAACCCCGATGACATGGACATGATGCCTTTAGATCTTCCGTTCGCGATACAGGAACCTGGAGGCTTAACGAGATCTCCTGATTCAATGCCCATGACAACGCTGGTCGATCCGCTACAGACAGATCGTTTGCAACGCCCAAGTCGGGATCCTAGCCTCAGATCCATTGATCCTGAGCATGCTGAAGGAACACAAGCGTCGTATACAACGGTCGAAGACATGCAAAGAGCGGCAAACGATATGACAGTCACGGAGTCTCTTTCGCGAAAAGCTTCACAGGTCGACCTTGCTGACGGACGGACTAGCAGGCGCGCAAAGCATCACGAATTAGAGGGATTGATCATCGCGGTCACAGTCCAAAGCAACCATGCTACCTTTTACTCGCAATTTTCGATCCCATCACAGATGAAGTGGCCGAACCACATGAGTGATGTCGACAACTTGAGAATGGATGTTAAGAGAGCTGTCAGTGCAAAGAGGCTGAGGAGAAGGGATGGCTCATTCTCAATGGAGCTATACTGCGAAGAAGGGCCATCTTCCGGCAAAGAAAACCAAGATCATCAAATGCAGTGGCTGTAAGAGACTGGTAGTTTACTCCATCAATGACTATCACTAATTCGGTATCCTAGGCACATGCAAACGCATCGCCTGAACCTTACCGACTTTGAGGTTTGTTGGACCATACAAAGGAGCGACGCTAGAAACGACGCTGGAGGCGACAAAGCAGCTGACAGCCAACACAGAACGCCTGCTTGAATGCTCCAGACATTAGTAGTAAAACACGTTTCACCATGCTGAGACTCTTCGAACAAATCCGAACCAAACATCAAAAGCAGCAATTCGATGGATACTGCATCGAACCGGGTACAGTATTACGTTACGATGGAATGTCTTCCGGCACCACTGACGCTACGCAATCCTCTGCTATCTTTATGTGCTTTCCATATCTTTCGGTAGGAGCCCGCCAGCAGACCTTTAAGTCACCTGAAGATGAGTATCCTACCAGAAGCATACTGCAAACTCTCTACCCTTACGAATCGACTGCACTACGTGAGGAAACTCCGAGCTTTTGCAGTGATTTACATCAAGCGTTAGATCAAGTACTCTACGTTCCCCAGTGTTGGGTCGTTATTCTTAACTCCGGTAAGCACGCATGTGACAAATCATCTTTTACTACGATCTGACTACGATAGATACGGTGATCTCGTGTTCTGAGCTTAAGCTCGATAACCTGATAGACGAATCAATAACAATTTCACATCATAAGAAGTACTTCCCACCTGTCACTAGTCATCAAGGCGAGGTCCCGATACGCGTTGAAGACTACCTGATTGACGACGATGAGTCTGATGTTTCGAGCATGACGGGTGCCTTCGACTCTCCTGTGGGTGACGTGGAAACACCACTTTCGGGTGGAACAAGAGATGACACAGTACAACAATTCCCAAGTCATTCGATTCTCAATCCGGCCTTAGGTCCCACGATAAAAGAGTCGACCATTTCCGAAGACCACCCATCGGCTGCAGGAAGTCCTCGCACGCAAGTCAGTTTCGGAAGTCTCCAAATCGCTGTACCCAATGATGAGACCCATGAAAAGCGACTCCAGAGTTCGTCGCTTACTGAAGAGGAAGCCGCCGAAGCAGAAGCGTCTATTCTTGCGGTATTAGACACATTGAAAAGCCCACATATGACCATTGAGTACCTGGAAAGGTTTAACACGTACATCACGTACGTTCTTACTCTATGGGGTCGCGCTCCACCTGGAGAGCAAAGGCGTCAATTTAGTGTCTTGTCACGGTTGCAGGATGGCCTGTTTCGTGCCGAGGTACTGCACGGCATGTGTGACATAGAATCTCAGGATTCAGTTTTTTCGTCAAATCTCAATTACCGCGACGCTATGCTAAAGGCACTTGGATTCGTGGATTCGTCTGTTCAGAAAGAGCTTGAGAGTCTTGGAGAGGTAGTTATGGACGCGATGACCCTTTTTCGGGGAATCTCAGACTCCAATACTAGAAACGCGATCAGAATAGCGAAGAAAGCACTTCGAGACCAAAGAGAAGTACTCAAGCTGGAAACTTCGGAAAGGTTGCCGTTGTCGGATTCGACTTCCGGATCAGGTGTTGACAATGTCAAGCCATTCTTGACCTGGGTCTTGGTCGATGCGGAACTAGATCAGAAAGAAAACACGGAGCGTGTTGCGGCTGAATATCTTCACGGGATGATGCGAGAGATCGAACAGAGTCTGCTTCAGAGGAACGAGCACTCTTATGATTTATGTAGAGAACTCACGATCTCTGACCTAGTGTATTCTTTGCAAGCTTCAACGCCGCACAGATCTCCTATGACTAGTAGCTCTGTTGCTCCCGGTCACCAACGAACGCCGAGCCGACCAGCACCATGGATGGCTACGTTACAGGTCTTGACTTCTTTCGGAACCATGTTAGAGAATCGTCCGCCGGAGGATCCTGTCCTTAGCGCACAGAAGAACATGGTTCGCGCTGCAATCGATGAGCTGTTTGCATGCTTGAAACGTTTCGTTGGGCTATATGTTCCGTGTGATTACGCACACTCGGTTTGCTACAAACTCTGGGGTTCGATGGCGCTTCTCAACAACGTACGTTCATTCTCCGATATTTTATTCTCGAAAATGGTTGGATGGCTAATCTCCATCTATCACTAAGGCGTGGTTCTAATGTGGAAAAACAACTTTGGCCTCCATGTACGAATCATGTATACTAACATCACAAATAGAGTGCGACGCTAGTGTTCAAGGAAGAGGAGCATCCGAGGCCGCTCTACATCATACGCCCACTTCAGACCAGCTTCTTACGAGACCGGAATATCAAAAAGCCAATGGTTCCAATTAGTTCTTGTCTTGAGTGTAAAGACGGACACACATACAAATCGCATCAAGAGGCTCTGACTCATCTCAACAAGGTCCATTTTCGGGACGGCTCGTTGAGACATCATCAAACAGCACGCCGTTATTTTGTGCGTACCGAAAACGATCTTCGTAATGAACGAGCCAGCAAGCAACACCTGTGGCTGCTGCAGATTTGTATACAGTATTTTGAAACGTTGGTCACACGAGGAGAAAAACTACATTTAGGTGTCGCCGAAGGGAAGCAGACCGACCGTCGCCGATATCAACTACCGGATGGTCTACTTGACTGCTTTGAAGAAACTGTGCTCTTCCTCATGCAAGCGACGACGTCCGTCGTTGCTATCAGAAACGAAGCAAGCATATGGAAACATACACCAGGGAAAGCAATTGACGACCTAGAAACCCCTGCAGTGCAAAGTGCTCTCGAGGAACTAGGGAAGCTGGGAGAATCTGCGCAAGCTTCTATGACTCGGGCTGAGAAAGCAGTAGTTCTTGCTGGGGGCGAGGGAAGTACGGTCAGCATCGGCAATGCAGGACCGGAGTTTTTGGTCTCGATTGTTCTCCAAAATATTGCGAGGAGGCATCTTTTGACTGACGTAAAGATGGATGTCAATCAATTGTACCAGGAGTATACTTCGAAATTGGTAAGCGCATCACGCTGAAGGACTCCAAATTTCACTGCTTGCAGCAATCATGCATCTGGATATGGCTAACAACGACCCTTCAGGAATACCAGATCTACCAATTCCCTCGCAAACGTCTACTCAGAACGATTCACAAACTCCAAGAAGAGCTCACTGTAGTTCAGCTTGTAAACTCCTGGCAAACGAAAGCATTCGATAATTTCCTTCAGATTCTGGACCCCAGAACCTTCAAGCTCCCTACATCCGATCGCATTAGTCTGTTTTTGCCTGAATCAGAGTGTATTAGCGAAAGCCTCAAATCTCTGCAAAGCAAGGCGGTGGAGCTCGAAGCCCTCAAGAAACGCACGCAATATCTTCGTGAGCAACTGAAACAGAGCGTAGAGATCTTAGAGGAGGACCACGGCAAAGCTATCTTGATGTTCACTATAATCACCACCATCTTCCTACCGCTGTTAGTGTTCTCCATTTCAACATGCTTACCCAGGCTAACAGGTTCTAGCTCTTTCGTAACCAGCCTTTTTGGGATGAACACATCTGATATTCGAAACATCGATAGAACGCAAGCTTTCTTCTGGGTTATAGCCATCCCATTCACTGCTGTTATTGTTCTTGTTGCGATCTTGTTAGCTTATCGCGGGGACAAGTTGTATGATCTTGTCGTGCAGACAATTCACGAAGTGAAAGAGCGGCACATGAAGACTGGCTTGCCAATAGCACCTTTACAAGATGAAAGAGAATGGGGGAATCTATTTTCATTTGCCCGGCCATCTCGGGCTCTACGCAGTCGGAGCAATGTCGCGACTAACAACATTGAGCTGAACACTCTGGCCTCATCCTCTGCGAGCCGATCCGCCCTCGTAACATGAGCTTCAACGTCTCAGCACCCTGATGTTACCAGTTTACAACGCTTTCATCAACCCTTCGTGCTTTACATTCCAACTTCCATCTTTCGGAAAGCCTGGCGCATCACCTTCCGATCCTTGCCAACCCGCTGCGCAGTACGCGATGGCATACAGAAATCCTGCATTGCCTGGCATGAACGGTGGTGGAGTACCTCCATCTCCACCACGGATCGCAAAACCCGCGTCGTCAAACTTCCAATAATCATACGCGGTAAGATGGTAAATCGCAAGCTCAGGATTACCTATCCGCGCACTATTGATGGCGAGAACAGGACGCCCCCAGCCACGGATCTTGTCATCAGTCCATACTTCCCAGACTTTATCGGCGGTACGAAGGGCAACTTCGGGGTCTACGGCAGGCGAGTCGGGGAGGATACCTTGCATCATGATGAGGCTGCGAGGATCGCCATTGAGCTTTGGATCTTCCCACCAAGAGCTGTTGAGTCCGTCGTACACGGCGTACAAGCCGTTGATTTGATGTGGGAGAGCCAGGTTCGTGGCAACGTGAGTCCATTTCTCAGGCACAGGTTGGTGCAGTTTGCGTTTCCACTCCGCGGCGGCATCCAGTCCGTAGCGCCAATACGCAATCTCGTATGCCAGGTTGCGTGTAGAGTTTGGTGGTGTGTTCTCGGTCACGCCGTAGGTCGGCGGGCCAAGGTCGTATTTGCCAGTAGTTGCGTTGAGGCCGGGGTAGGATGTCATGTAGTCCGCAGTAGCTGTCAGCACTTTGTCCCACTTCTGCAGTGTCTCTCGTGTCGGATTCGCCTCGTATGCAAGATTTGCGAGATAGAACGGGTGAGGTTGCTGCCATATGAGCTGAGCATTAACATCGCCCGGTGAGCTGACACCGGTCTCAAGCTCTGTCATCTTTGGCCATCGCGCACCCTCCCATCCCATGTATTTTGCACGAGCCAGGGACGAGGGAAGAAGTGTCTCGTATAGCTCGGGGAAGATGTTGTCAAAGTATTTCTGGCGACCCCATGTGGCCCAGTGCGCGTTGTGCCAGATTAGCATCTCCATGTGGAACTTTCCATACCAGCCATTGTTCATCAGCCCGCTTTCTTGCGGCGATTGACCTTTGGCCGCGCTATTGACACGCACATGGTACTGTGACTTGATGATGCGACGCTGGAGTTCAGTTGCGTTCGGATTCGAAGACGAGGTGAGATCAACAAAGCCCCCCTCTTTCCAATACCTATTCCAGCCTTGTACATTCTTTTCCAGGATCTTTTGTGGTAGGCTGGGCACCTTTCGATCAGGTGAGAAATGGGCAGTGAAAGCGATTGAAGAGCCCATAGACACCGTACTCAAGGTGTATCGATGTGCTGTAACGGATGTTGAGTTTGAGGGCTCATTCCTGGTCAATTTGAGAGGTGATCCTTTTGGCCATCGCAGATTCGCAAAGTACCGCACTTCTTGCAAGTCATGCTGGATATGCGCTGACGTACGATCAGTTCCATCCTCCACCAGTATAGTGCTGTGATTGAGAGGGAAGTCGTATACGCCCGCAAAGACCTACAAACATTGTTAGTATGTGACCGAACTACTGCAAAGGGGATAGATCGACACATACCTCGTATTTGTACTTGGTACTGTGTATCGGCGGATACGGAAAGTCCATCTCCACCTGCAAATCGCCACTTTGAATAAGTTTTGACTCAATGACGAAGGCCACAGCATCAGACTCAAAGTCGCCTTGTGTAACCACCTTCACATCTTTGCCGTTGACCTTGAAACTTGATGTGATGGTGCCATCCCATAACTCTAGTTCTTGCCTGGATTCAGTGATGAGAGACTCGTTAAGTGTACTTCCTTGATAGCGGAGGCCAATACGACCCAGGTTCAGTCGGTTTGGGTTGCTGATTAGCCACTGAGTTGCTTGCTTGAGCTTGGGGTCTGGGATGTCGTAGTAGACTTCACGCCCATACGTCTCGCGCATGACGCCCTTGTAGTCTGACGGTAACTCCCTATATGCATTGGTCAGTGTTCAATGGCACGGCTTTGAAGTTCATACCCATTCCCAGGGAGTGAGTCGTTATGCCAGGCCCAGCTGGACAGCGTGTTAAACGGCAAGTATGTCTGCCTTGCAAGTTAATCAGGTGGTAGTAGCGGTAGCCAAACAAATGTACCTGCATCCCTGTGGTGTCGACATTGAAGGCAAAGTTGCCATTGCCAACCTGGAGAGGTGTTGTCTCATTGTCAATGAGGTCGGATCGCACGATATTGAACTGCGAGACCACGGAATGCCTGCTAAATTAGAGATGTATCTGCAGGACGATTGGTGTATCAACCTATCGATATTCCCGTAGACCGCACCTACCAGCAGTAGGGCGCAAGACACTCGTACGCCGTGGGAGCGCATCTTTGCTGTAGACCTTTTCTATGGTATGGGTGCAGTGAGAGCTACGGCGCACTCGCAAGGGCATTTGTACCTGATGGCGAGACAGCATGTAGGATTGGATCAGCAGATGACCCCATGCCCGTAGGGCACCTTATTCCGGGGTAAATGTACACCGAGAAGGATCCCCAGGACTATCATGGTTCGTGTTCGGTTAGCGATTGGATGACCCCAACCCTCCCCGCCTTTCGCGAAGCTTGATTAATTCCTCCAGTGGCGCAGGCCCGGAACTTCACACCCTTGCGACTAGTTGAGGAACATTTCTAATGATGGAGCGCAGCTTGACCTACACATTTCAGTTTGTTTGGAGTCAGCTTGCGAAACACGAATGAAGATATGGAAATGCAATCGCAATACTTCACAAAGACACCAGGAACAACGTGGCACGGAGCAAGGTCAATGGCTACGAAATCTCTGCGAAGAAGCTTATTTGCAAACTACTGAGTACCTGCGTCGACGAAGAACCGGTGGAGAGATTCGCGAAGCGATACCTTGTCCCCCAGGGTATTTGAACGAGCGTTTGACGTTGCAGAGATGCTATGTTGTGCAAGGGACTGCCACGAATTCGGCACGGAAGCATGGCCGGCAATTACGTCATCGCCCCCCCCCCCCCCCCCCCCCCCCCCCCGAAACCCCGATAGCTCTTTTGGCGAGGCATCTAACACATTAGCAAAGCTATCAATCGAGAGTGCTTTCTCTTCGCTTAGTCTCTCTGATAACAAGGTGCCTGCTTGCGAGAAAATCTCTTCTCATAACCTGTGGACCGCGAAGGTGCGAAACGCCTAGGTGTCAATATACGCGTATCGAACGCTAATCGTTTTCGCTAAAGCTTTCGGCTTGTGCTAAGATCATGGCCAAGTAAGGCGACTTAATGAAGTTAAGGATATACTGAAACGTATACGAGCTATTATAAGCTCTCTAGAATCAAGGTACTTCTGATAGATTGTGTTCGTCTCTCAAACATCTACATCACCACAATCACGTCACTATGATCTCGGCACGCGCCTCGTTCCTAGCTGCCCTTTTTGCTGCATGCCTGGTCTCAGCAGAGTCAGGCTGCCGTTGTGGCGCCCCCGCTTTTCTCGCGATCCCTCGTATCAACCTTCCTATGCCAGAACAGATCAGACCATGCCCTGCATATAGTAGGATTATTGTCTTAACATTGCTCAAAAGATACGTACTAATACCAATTCCAGAGCTAATTGATGCCCGTGGATCAGGCGAGCCACAGGGCGTGTCACTGATGTTTCAGAATGTCATCTCCAATCTTCTTGTCAACAGCACCGATACGGCCTATCAGGCTGTGGTGTACCCAGCTGATTTCGACCAGAACGTAGCCTCGGGCGTTCAGAATCTCCTTGAAATCATCGAGTATGGTCTGCAAGACTGTCCGAGCCAAAAGTATTTCTTGTTTGGATATTCGCAGGGTGCCACTGTATTGCAGCAAGCACTCGCTCAATTGAACAACAAGACCTTGGATAGTGTTCAGAGTGTTGTCATGGTCGGATATCCGTATCGATTGTCTGGCAGAGTGGCGAACGTCGATAGCCAGGGCCGAGCCGACAACCGGACTGCGTATGGACTCTTCGCTGTTCAGGCTATGAAAAGCAACGGCACTATGATTTCTTACAACGACGATTTAGGAATGACTGGCAAGGTCCAAGACATTTGTCTCGAAGTAAGTACTTTATACTGTCTCTAGACCCCATACCTAACACGCATAGAATGATATTGTATGCGCATTTGATCCTGAGTGCAAGTGCCAGCTTGCAAGCGATCACCTCTCGTATGGTCTATCGAAATCTGTTCAGGATCAGATCTTTGAACATGTTATTTCTCGGTTCTAGCACAGCATAGGAAGCGTAATGCGTGGTATCAGAGGTAGCATCACAGATCTGCGTGTTGTGTTTTCTTCGCTCGTTCCTTTGCAGATCTCCTGTTCGAACAGATTTGCTGTAATCTACACATTCTACCTCAAGTAATCGTAGTCTCCAATTGTTCTCTCACAAATGGTTAGTAGGCAGTGCACCCTGTGATACCGTCTCATATGCCATATTTCTGAAGGGCAGGCCGATGAACAAGAACTCGTAGCCATGGGATCCGCAGAACGTAAACAGCTATATCGTTTCCGAAGTAGTAGACCGCTGAGCACAAGAATAATTTCGAGGCGTACTGATCGCAGACGCTCTTAGAGACGGTCACAAAGTATCGAGACCAAAGATGCATAGTCTATTTCAATGCAAACAAAGTACCTGCGATTCCGGCACTAACGCAATACAAGATTGCTACACGGGTAGACAGCAAGGGACTACATGTGGGCGTATCTGTATACTCGATGCACAGATTCGCGCATGACGCCGCTACGCCGCGAAGAGAGGTGAAAGTGAACATACGACGCGCTTCAACAAGAAGCTCGCACACAACGCGAAAAAATCGCCTTGAGATAACCTCTCCCAAGCTCAACGCTCACGTATTGCCCACTCCACACGATGTCGAGCTCCGAGATGATCGCTGAACTGGCGGCACGACTCCGTCGCCTCGCTGATGGCATATCAACTGACTGCAGTGAAGACCCTCGCGAAGAGTCCAGGAATGTACTCCGAAAGGCTGCAATGGAGTTGGAGCAAGGTGTCGTTAAGAGCCACTCACACGACGACTCTTATGTGCTGGTGCTGCTTGACGCGCATGGCCACCCGGTAGAGTATGATGATGTAAACCTGGTGATGCTTACTAACACTACCTTTAGTTCAACGACGACATCTTCTATCGATCCACCGACCAGAGCTACCCCGCCCTAGATCGTGACAACCCGTTCAACATCAAGAAGCGACTTCACGAAGCGATTCGGAAGCACTTGATCGATGCATCCTCCGCAGCTACACCTCACACAAACACTCAGGAGCGCTCAGTCAAGGTCTCCTCTGCAGCGACACTTGGCACGTCTCGGATCGTGGTGCGTGTCTATGCCAACACGACCAAACTAGAGAACGATCTACTACGCCCTTTACAACAGTTTGCTGTTCAGTTCTCCTCCATGGATTCTGACTTCGACTTCCTCTGTGTTAGAGACGAGGCAATGGTGGAGCTCAAGGTCGTTGGTCAGTGAACACACTTTCTACCCCCCAAGCTTGGCCCAAAAGTCCGCGCTGTAACAATTATCAAGGTTGCAATATAGACAACCACTGATACCTTCAAAGCAAGATTCATAGTTGGGCTCAACACTGACCTTCTTAGATGCTTTTCAGGCCGCTCGCAAAGACCCAGACTGCAAGCATGTTTTCCTCGCTGCTTGGAACCGCCCAGGCTACATTTCAATGCTACAAACGCACTCCGAGAATGTCACGCTAATCCAAGGATACGGCATGGGAGCAGGTGCCAAGTTCATCTCTCTAACATGCGCTGTGATTAGCATCCCAGAGGTGTTCAGTAAGCCTCTGGAACAAGACCTCTTCGTGTCACTCACATCTCGCTCAGCTGAGAAGCACATCATCACCGCAATAGTCAGCGACAAGGTATCCTGCAAGGATGGTCACTGTGGGCGTTCACATACTAAAACGAACCCTGACGACATGGGTAAGAAGATTGTGCCCAGACCGTTTACAAACATTCTACATCAACCAGGATCCTTACCACGAGTCCACGAAGCAATTCCTGGTCGTATACCCGTCAATGCGAAGGGACAACGTCTTGACTACTACACCCAAATGCCTTCTATTAGTGATTAGCAGGACTACATGTGGAGAATTGGAAAAGACGTCAAGCCTTGTCGATCGTTCCACCTCGCGAACGGATGTCGTTTTGGAGATGATTGCTGTTACGGTCACTCTGATATCAGCCCTCAAGTCCTAGAGGCATTCCGTTATACGGTCAAGAGGATGCCATGCTCTAAGGGGAGCCATTGCCCTCTTGACCACTGCATTTATGGCCATGTCTGCCAAAAGCCTAACTGCATCACGGACGACCCGACATCCTGCAGTATGAGGAAGTTCCATGGCGTGGACCTTGCGTTCGCATCGTGGAAAAAGGGCAAGCATGCTCCTAAGTTTCCTACCGGAGGTCCAGTCCAGTCGCGAGAAAAGGATGTGGACGAAGCTTCAGCTACTTCGTTCTGGTTCTAGGATGCAAAGTGTGAAATCAGTGGCCCGAAGATAGAAGAGAGCAGCATAGCCGAGGTGACTCTGGACGTCACAGTGAAGCGCGTATCTCTACAAGCTCATTATTCTGCAAGTAACATCCCGTAGGATTTCATTGAGAAACTTGCGGGCGCCGAAACACTTAGGATGAGACGCGAAAGCTGCAATGCATTCGCTTCTGTACACGAGCGAGGTGCCTCACGGCGATAGGCAATGAATCCTTGACATGCCATAAATCAACAAGCAACAAGCAGGACACGAGAAGCGCCGAAAGGCAATGCTGGGATGCCCATTATCGCATATAACGACTATGAAACGGATACTAGGCAGGTATCGCTCCCGAGACACGCGACCAAACATTGCACCAGTCTGTGCGGTGCTATCGCTAGAATCCATCTGCGTCTCAACTGTCCGACCACGATTCCTTTATCAAGGCTTTCACACTCTTTGTGGCGATATTTGGAAACTTCTCGTTCAAGCTTCCTTCATTCTTGAAGTTGAAGAAGCCGTTCTCAAACAGCATACCAAACATCGCACACATACGCTCGAGCTTCTCTTGCGGGAAATACGGGTACAGTTGTCTCTGGCTGGGCAGTGCTGTTGAACGACCCTTTTGCAAAGTTGTCAACGAGTCATGCTTGCATTCAAACTTGGTACCCTTTGTCTCCTCGGCCACGATGAGAAACTCATTCCACGTCATCTTGTCGCCGATGATGACCGATTCTTTCTCCCACCTGGCAGATGATAGCAATGCAGCGATAAAACGCCCCACGTCAAAGCTATAGCTAAAGACAACGGGCACATCTCCAGATCCGGGAATGGCGGCAGCGTTTCCAGCCATGTCGATTACGCGGGGTAAATTTCCGAGATAGGACTTCACCTTCGGAAACCCGTAGTAGTCCAGGAAAATACCGTTCGACACTGCAGTGTATTCCAAAGAGGTGCTTGCGAGAATGTCGAGATAGGCTCTCTTCGCGCTCATCGCGGGGAGAATGGCCGCGGCTCTGGGAACTGTGTTAACATTCGGCTCCACTTTCGATGCTACCAAGTAGGAATGCTTACTCTGGCGAACAGGGTATTCCCCAAATACTGGGGATGTATCGTGTAGTCTTTTTAGAGCTCTCCGCTGCTTTAATAAGTGCGAGTTCAGAGTCTGTGCCGAACGTAGAGCCCAAGGTGGAGATGACGGTATCGACGTCGTTGGTCTCGAGTTGCTTAACGATACTATTGACATTGCCGTAATCGGTAGCTAGTGTACTGGCTCCAAGTACATTTGAGATTTGCACGTCAGACTTAAGGTCAAAGTTAGGGACATCTGAGTTACTGCGCTGCGGAAAGGATACTTGCCTCGCGGCTGAGAACGAAAACCTTATAGCCTCCATGGGCGATAAGCTCTTCGACGATAGCGCGACCAAGCTTGCCTGTACCGCCAGCAACTGCAATAGTGCGAGAACTCATGTCTTATCGTGTTTCCAGCGAGAAGAATCGCGCAGACAATTCAGCCTGGCGCTACAACCTGACGCGAGAAACCGGCTCAACTCTGTGCCTGTAAATTGTTTAGCAATGCGAGATGAAGATATCCAAGTATAGCACAGGCGGGCTATATAGTCACATCACGTCAATAGACACGATGCCGTTAACTTTGAAATGTTGAAATGGTCACGCAACATTACTCTTCTCATCGCCCGACGACCGAAATCTGCTGATGAACCAGGAAATGCACGCATTGGTCAGCTCTCGCGCTGAGAGATGCTTAATGCCGACAATCTGTGAGATCAGTTTAGTGAACTAAAGGTCCGTTAAGTCTCGGCGTTGTCGCTGTCACGACGGTGATAGTGAGTATGTAATCAAGGTTAGGTACAATAGTCTATGGCAGATTGCGGCTAATCCGAAAGCGGCTTAGTACAGGACGGGAAATTGTCTTTCCGCGGCTGCCCATCCATCGCAGCCTACGTACCTAGATACACAGCAGTCAGAACATTGTCGCGATTCGCGATCCCTTGCATACCCGCCATATTTCAAGACAAGATAAAGCTGACACGATGTCATAGCGTTCACGGAGCTTTTCCCCCATAGTTCCAAGATACAACATGTTCGCGTTCTCGCCATGTGCGACAACATCGTCTCAGGGTAGTGGTTAGTCAGCCATTTTCATTGCCAAGGTTGCGCATACAATCCGCTCTCGTCGCGTCTGGAATTCCGCGTCAGCCTTGGCTTGCTCATATCCGCCCAATCGGAGAAGAGTATGCCGGACTAGACTAGTCCTTTCATTGATTGGTCAGGATGACATACTGCTGACTGGCTCTCATTCTGCTTTAGATTGTTGCGCCACTAATTCTTGTCCGAGACCGAGCAGCGAAACAGTTGGATAATCAGACGGACAATTCTCGTTGCTGTCCGAAGGGCATGGCATAGAGTTGCGTTGTCAGTTTGATGCATTCATCGTGACCAGGTGCATGTAGCAATTATTATATATCCCTAACGGGAATGCTGAAGAACATTCAGTATCCTAAGCATCAACAGCCTTTGACTCACACTCCATTCAATCCACCATTGGAAAAATACCGTTACACCTCAGCAACTCGATTCTTCATCCAAACAACCCGTCAAAATGTCCTCCAAGAAGATCATCACTGTTCTGGGCGCCACGGGCAACCAAGGTGGTTCTGTCATCACAGCTCTTCTTGCCCATCCCGAGATCGCGTCCCAGTACTCGATCCGCGGTGTCACGCGCGACACTACGAAGCCCTCAGCCCAGAAGCTCCTGGCCAAGGGAGTGGAGCCCATCAAAGCCGATCTCAATGACCCTTCATCCCTTCAAGCCGCATTTCACGGTGCCTTCGCCGTTTTTGCCGTCACCAACTACTGGGAGACAATGTCCAAGTCGACAGAGATCGCTCAAGGAAAGAACGTCGTTGACGCAGCCATCGCCACCGGAGTCAAACATCTCATCATCTCTTCACTCCCTAACGTCACGGCCCTAACAAACGGTGCTCTCTCCAACGTTGAGCATTTTGATTCCAAGGCCGAAGTCTCTGATTACGCAGAGGCCCAGAAGCACAAGACGAGCATGTGGGTTACTCACTTCATGCCTGGATATTTTATGCAAAATCTCAAGAGTACTATCAACAAAGATCCTGCCACTGGCGCTTCCATGATGACCATCCCATGGGACGAAACCAGTACGCAGATCCCGCTTATTGACATTGTTTCCGATGCTGGCAAGTACGTCGCGGGTGCCCTGGTACTCGGAGCTGGTGCCGATGGTGCTAGAATTCAAGCTGTTTCGCAATGGGCCACTCCCAACGAAGTGGCTAGTACTGTAACCGAGGTTACTGGAGACAAAGTGACCTTTTTGGAGGTACCCAAGGACGTTTGGGAGGGATATCTGCCGCTTCCCCCTCATGCAAAGACGGAGCTTGGGGAAAACATGATCTTGATCAAGGACTACAGCTACTATGGAAATGACGCTCCTGCTAAGCAGCATGAGCACAACAAGTACGTCGAGGCTATACCTGGTCAGAGTTTGACTAGCTTGGAAGATTTCGTTAAAGCCGAATTCTGAGAGAAAACTGTTGAGATACCACTACTAGTAGTGCTATCGCGCGGCAACCATAGTATCTTGTTCTAGAATCAGATTAGTAGCGCGTGACTGTATAGCTTAGTAGAATGGACATCGATTAAACTACGCATTTGATAGTAACCATGAGCTTTGCATAAGTGACACCATCTCTGTTGCTAATGACCGTCTTGAAACCTGTGAAGAGAAGAGAAATGTTATACCTCCGCGGCCCCACCAATCCCTCGTAAGATGTCTCCGAACTAAGGCTGCAATTGACCACCTGGCATCAACTGTAGAGTAATGCATACAGACGCAATGACAATGAACGCCACGACTAAGTTTACCACCGAGTCTTCAGAAAACATTTCGCTCCAAAGACCCAAGAGAACGAATCCTGCTGCTACCCATCCCACACAAATACAGACTATTGCGGTAGCTCCGGTGGAGGTGAGACCAGCGCGCTGCGATTCAACAAAAGGGGCCTGCGATATGACAGTTGTAACAGGGCTAATCGAGAGCGGCGCATCGGTCGGTGTAGCCGGAATCTCATCCGGCCAGATGACTTCTGCGATATCTGAATCCTGGCTTGATCGTCGTGAGGACATATTGACTGCGACAGTAAGAAACAAAAGTGTGAGTGCAGCTTCATGGTCAGCGAGCGACGGTGTGCGCTTTTAAAGAGCCGGTGTGTTTGCTGTGGGCTCATCTGACTGTTGCGATGTGACCTCGTGAGGTGGCAGCGTGGGCAAGATCATAGGACCAGCTGGACAACTCCGGGTCAACGCACTTCTACTCCGACGCTGACGATGCAGATCAGAAAATCCGATGTTCACCTCAACAATGTCTCCTCTTTTTTGATCATCACTAAGACGTTGATCGGTATGTGCAGTTTTGGCGTTGACGGCTTCTCTAGCTTTGGCTCGTGCGAGGATGTTGCGGGGCGACACTGGTGTTGTATCTGTCACAATGTATTGAACCTCTGTTGGTACGGCATCTGCTACAACTATGCTGCAGTGTGGAAGAGATGGCCGGGATCGTGAGATTCAAGGATTCCTCTAGCCTGTTTGCTTTTCCGAACATGGTCGATATTCCAGGGCGCCTCGCTCTTTCCAAGACTTTCCTGAGGCGCTGTTCCAGTAGGCGACAACTCACGAGTACTAATTTCGGATGAAGATAAGAGTCGATCCGACGCATTTCGTTCATGCAGTGGGGTGGTGATGCTAGGTTCGCGTATGAACCCTGACGCAACGGCTACCGACATGCTACTCTTTTCGTGATGTAGCTCAGAAGTACCGGCTAGCATGCAATTATCCTGGGTTGCATGAGAAAACTTTCCACGTAAGTGCGAGCTTGATGCTCGACCACTCATGCGTGTCAAGCGCTGGTCAGGCGTAGAAAAGGCTCTTCTATGGGCAATGCTGCCGGCACTGGCCTATAGATCCCCCCTTGGGACTTTCATCGGGTTGAGCGACGGACCAGCTAGTAGTGAACGACCAAATGGCATGGCTGGGCGCGGCCAAGGTACCCACATGTGTAGAGTCTCTTCGATGAGCGTTGGACAGCTTAGATACTGAAGGCATATATGGCGGTGGTGATAAGGGCATGTCAGGATGCGTATGTTCATCATCACATGGAGAAGATTCGTGTGGCTGGCTTTCGCTCGCTGTCGGAGATGGAGCAAAACCTAGTGATGAGTACTGATCAACGATGACGTTGATGTCTTTTGGTGTCGAGGGCGTGCTTCGGTTGCTGCGAAAGATGGCCGTTATGGACCGAGGTAGTAGGATGTTGATTGGTTTGGTAGGAAATGAACCATGGACTCGAGTCGCATCACGGCGCGGCCTGCTTGTGTACATAGTCGAGTGGTATATCTAGGTATGGGGAGCACATGGGCTCCAGGCTGACCTTTGCATTGACCACGACTGCTTGAGTCCTTTACCTTGCGCCACTATGACCGCTACAATCACTACATCTGCTATCGCTCATCAGATAGCTCACTCGGTGACGTATATACGGCCTTTAAAGACAGCAACTGACGACTCGCAGAGACATTGCCTTCTGCGTCGCAACCCCTCAATGTTCACACCAATACGATAGTCTTTTCCTTGAACACAGTGTTGTGTATTGCTTCGCCATGCATAAACCCGTCAAAATAGCAGTCGCCCATGAACTGGTAGCATGCTTGAGGCGTTTTGAGCGACTGGCCAATTTTTCTTGTTGTACTTGCAATTTCTCTTATTCGGGAGAACCTTTTTGATGGCATTGGTCTCTGCGGGCGAAACTCCAGGAATTCTAATGTTCCATTGTCTCTGAAGGCGCCCTCATCCAACGGTTCTAATGCTAGTCTTTCTTCTTGTTCCAGACGGGTGGGTCGAAGAATGAACGGTACTTTTCCACCGTCCAGAACCCACACCTCGTCCCCAACACAAGCGTTCGGATAGCACAGGCCCTGACCACTGTTGTCGGCCTTGAAGTAGCATCTTCCGTGTGTCGCCGTGGTGATGATCTGATGTAGCGACTGGTTCATCGAGTTTGCATCTTGGAGCCATGGAAGGAAACTATCCAGCCAACCTATTGTTGCAGGGGTAAAATTGGTCCACATTGAGAAGTTAGCTTCGGTGCCCTCCGTTGCATCCATTCCTCCTAACAGTGTTCTCCAGAACTGCAAGAATTTGTCTGTGCAGCTGCTGACATTACCGGAGGTATCCTTCTTGATATACATATCGGCCAAGTTATCACTTCCAGCCCAGTCGACCGCATCTATCATCCATCGCTTGAAGACTGCCTTCCTTACGCCATCCAAAACGGAGTCCTGCTTATCTTGCGAGACAAAGATGATGCTTCCTACTCGTCTACCTACGACCTCGAGTCCCATCCGATTCGCTCTGGGATTCCCTATTTGTGGCCGAGCCATAAGTAATACGCGATTCGACTTACGGCCATCGGAAGCATCGAAGTTATTGAAATCAAGAAATGAGTTCCTATTCATAGCAACACTGGCATCCATACGATCGAAGGGCGCATCAAATTCGCGTACCCACGAAGCCCACTTTCCATGTGCTGGACCATACGAGCGTCCTGTCAAGCTACTCAAAGTGTCCCTTTCATGGCAAAGCATGTGTAATGTGGCATGCAGAAACACCTCGTCTATGGAATGGGTGTAGTCAGGCGTGAAAGATGTGTCATGAACGATTCCCAACAACCCGTAGACCTTGTCGCGTGGGTCTTTGCATGCTCGAAAGCCATATGCTACATGTTGTCTTCGTAAGTCATTGTTGGCGACATTCCCATTAACGAGAACTCTCCGATCGTTGCTAAGAGTTGCGAGGTTGCCGAAGAACTCTACCATTGGGTCCCTGATTTTAGGAGGCAACTGCGATGCAGCTTCCTGGCAACAGCCTGTCCAATGGTGGTGATAATTCATCCCGCAATCGGCGATGATCTGAAGCGATATTGACCATGTATCATGGGTTAACAAGCCCTCCTTGGGTAATATAGCTTCCTGAACGGTCCACATACGTGACCACCACGGGCTTTCGGTGACAGCAATGAACGCTTCGATGATGGTGTCGAACTTCTCGTCAGCTTTGTAGACAACCCTATCGCGCCCATCGTCATTCTGAGTATGGAAGCATGACCATTCATGAATGTGGCGATCGTCTGCCAAATGGCGTAGGATTTCGAACGGATCCACGGCTCCAGAGCTGTCGTCTACAGCGTTGCTCGCGTGGAGCGAGGACTGTGCAATCCCGCATCTGAAGCTATCGCAGCCTAGCCAGATTCTTACTTGAGCGCATTGTCGATATATCTGGCCCATGAGTGCAACTTGTTGCGACTTCTCTGAATTGTCCGATTGGTTAATGCAGACAGCGTCTACCCATAGTGTGAGATCGTTTTTTACGTCCCGCAAGTGTCGCAGCGCCTGTTCGAGGTTCGTAGTAACGCGAATCTTGAAGCCGTCAACCTCGATCGGCTTGGTGGTGGCGGAATCGCCCCATGTATATGACAGAGCGTCATAAGAAGGCTTGTTGTGGAGGCTGACGATTCGCAGAGTGCATCGAATAGGCTCGGACATGCCACCAGCATGGACGATGAGGAGGCGCAAGTTGTCGCTAGCATCCGGCAGAGTCTTATAGATAGGGTAAGTTGATGTTGACATAGCTTTGTTGGTCTTCGAAACTTTAGGTGGTTACTTCATGAAGATGCAGCCTTGGAGGGGAAGCAGCCTTCCACGTGCTCACTTCACTCGTGACACCCCGCCATCGTTGAATCAGCTAGAAGCGTCACATCTCAGCCTCGCACGACTATCCTCAACTATTTCATTACTTCATCTCTCACCCGGATAAATCACGTACACATCCATGCACGCCGACCTCCAACTTCCTCGTCTTATCAACCCAACACAGTCGCGTAGTCGATCCCTGTCCTTCCCCGCCCTCCCACCTCTTCCCAAAACAGCATGTTTACCAGTGCGCACGGAGACAAGGCGTCAGCAGACTTGCTTCACCCCAGCGCAAAGCAATGTACGAGGCTAGTTCCCACGATACACCTGCGTGCACTTGCAGCAAAAGAACGGCCCACTAGCGCTGAATAAGGCGGCAAGTCCGTCCCGACTAGCTCACCCCTTGCCTCATCCAGAGGCAATGATTTAGCCAACGCCAATGGCCCTCCAGTAGTCGCACATGTCAAACTCGGGCGTCTGGCGACCGCGGATGCGATAAGAACGACAACAACGACGGTCTTGATTGAACAGCTGGTTCTGCAATATTGGTGCGCCTCGGAAAACTGCGGCTATCTGTCCACGTATTGATTTGGCGTTATCACTGGGACTGCGACGTCCAACAAGAGACGGGAACCGTTTTGTGCGCAGCGCGCACCCCGGAGAAGAACAAAGTTACCTACAAACACCAACTTTACATCTGCTTTTCACCGGCATTTTGACCCGCCGTGGGAACTTACGGCCACCGTTGTCCATTGATCTTGGCCCGAGCGATCAATACGGCGCTTATATATTGAGGGACGGGTACCCTTTCCGCGCAGCGCACCCCTGGAAGTCCAAGGAACGAAGTTGTCGGCTAGAGCATCCGTATAACGACCATGGCCGACTTATCGCACACCCAGACCCACGATGCCATGCTCAAGAACGCCGCGCATCTTTCCGAAGACGCTGCACTGGACGACGAAGAGCTAGGCATCTCGTCGTCTTCGCGACGAGTCGACTTTGGAAGAGATAGGACTACCGGCGGCGTTGAACATGGCGGAGACGGAGATGAGGCACGTGAGCAGCGACCAAAACACAAGAAGAGAAGATTCGGGCTAGGCAAGAAGAAAGAGAGTTACAGCCATACGCACTACAAGGTGTACAAGAGAAGGTGGATTGGCTTGGGACAGTTGGTGTTGTTGAACATCGTCGTTAGTTGGGATGTAAGTTGACTTCTTTGCTTCTTCACGGTTGGTACGGGAAGGGTCTTTTAGGGTCAGGGTCCCGAGCATGCTCTAAACACCGACGGAGCTACTGATGCCACTATGACCGAATTTCCAGAGACAATTGCCTGTCATTGAAGACAGCGGGGGGCGCAAGATATGAATTACTAACAATCAATCCCTAGTGGCTGACCTTTGCCCCTATATCCACCACATCTTCCCAATACTTCAACGTCCTCGAAAGTACCATCAACTGGCTCAGCACAGCCTTCCTCTTCGCCTTTGCCGTATCCACCCCACTAACAATCTACCTCCTGCACAGGGGCCCTAAACCCTCCATCATTGCCGCCTCCATCTTACTCTTGGCAGGGAACTGGATCCGGTATGCGGGGACCAAGACTAACGTATTCAGCGCGGTCATGGTGGGTCAGATATTGACAGGGCTGGCGCAGCCTTTTGTGCTAGCGGCGCCGACGCGGTATAGCGATATGTGGTTTACGGAGGGAGGAAGGGTGGGGGCTACAGCGTTGGCGAGTTTGGCAAATCCGTTTGGGGCAGCGGTATGTTATGCACTTTTGAACAATATAGGTAAATCGCAAGACATACTAACGTGAAGGCACAGCTTGCGTCGTTGATCAACCCATTCCTGGGCGATGTACCAACTACAGTGTTGATTGTATCATGTATAGCAACCGCAGCATGTATTCCGGTACGTCTCCCCCTTATCCCATCTTCCCTACATACTTCCCCAAACCCAAGTCCGGACATGTTATTGAAATACAAAAACAGTCATTCTTCATACCCGCCTCTCCCCCCTCACCACCCAGCGCCTCGTCCGCCATAAGCAAAACCCCCATCTCCACCTCCCTCAGGACAATGCTACGCACACCGTCCTTCTACCTCGTCTTCTTCACCTTTGGCATCTACACCGGTTTCTTCAACGCCTTCACCTCTCTCCTCAACCAAATCCTGTACCCATACGGCTACACCGAGGACGAAGCCGGCATCTGCGGCGCCGTCCTCATCGTCGTCGGCCTCGTCGCATGTGCCATCACCTCGCCCATCGCCGACAAAACGCACGCCTACCTCCTCGGCATAAAGATCCTATGCCCCATCCTATCAGCCGCGTATCTAGCCATGATCTGGGCGCCGCAGACGCGCAGCATTGCAGCGCCGTATGTGCTCAGTGCGGTGCTGGGCGCGTGTTCGTTCAGCCTGCTGCCCATTGCTTTGGAGTATCTGGTCGAGATTAGCTTTCCGGCCTCGCCAGAGGTGTCGAGCACGATCTGCTGGGTTGGCGGGCAGGTCTTTGGTGGTATCTTCATCGTCGTTATGAATGAGCTTAAAGACGGTCGGCCGGTGGATCTGGAACAAGTGCAGAAGGCGGGTAGGGGCCAGGCGGCTAAGGGAGGGGATAGACCGCCTGGTCATATGTTCTGGGCGTTGGTTTTCCAGGCCGTGGTCTGTGCATTGGTGTTGCCGTTGCCGCTTATGTTGGGGGTGGAGCGACTGGGGTTCGCTAGTAGAGAGGGGAGATTGAAAAAGGATGTCGATGGCGATAGTGTTGTTGTTGGTGGTGCTGGAGAGAGGGGTGATGTCGAAGTAAATGGTGGGGTTCCGGGAGCGGAGCGATGACTACTTGAGGATATGGATTCTGGTGAGGATTACGAGAATGACGATGACGACAACGACTATGATGAGGGATACTCGTCGTAGGCTAGGATTTTCCTTTGGTCTGGGCTGTTTGGGAGGGACTGGTTTTTTCCTTGGCTCTGTCTTTGTCATGTACGTAATGGGATCCATGTCCGCATATGACCAACACGCTTTGTTACAACTTGTTCTCGATGATGTGTACCAATGTTTGACTCGGGCAAGATACAAGTACAGTGATATTCTAAACACGGGCTCTAATATGTACAGTCATCCATTGCGTGTGATAATGTCTTGATGCTTGCATTCATTTCCGAAACGGCTACGTTCCAACTACCTGCTACCAACACATGGGTATTCGCTATAGGAAGAAGGACGAGGATCGGCTGGGGGCGGTTTACTTGAGCTGAGCGAAGAGCTTGGGGGCAGCGCATTGGGATGCGCAGTGAGCAAGGTGGAAAACTGTGGTTATGTTAGAGGAAAGGAAGGGGGTGACGTTGGGAAGTGGAATATTGACATACATTCTTCAACGCAGTCCTCGCTGGCCTTGCCGTCGTTCTCAATCTGGCCTGTCACCCGTTGAGCGCACTCGTCGTAGTGGTGCTTGGGGCCGTGGCACTCCTTGGACTCGGCGCATTCTGCATGGGGTTGTCAGCCACGGTGCTCTCTGCGATGGCTCTAAGCTTGCGGTGGTTCGATTCTGTAGATGCCTTTATCGGAGAATGCATCCCCAACCGTAGCCATATAGAGCCGCAATGCGCCACTCAAGCGGCGGGTGTTTTGTTCCTGGGTCCGGGATAACTTACCCTTCTCGAGTTGCTCCTTGGGGTCCGGCGTCTCCTCCTCTTCCTCGTCCTCCTCCGGCTCATCCTCACCACCATCACTGGGCTTGTGTCCCTGCTCTCCGGAGTCGCCGCCGCTCTTCGCGTCCTGCTTGTTGACATCGGCTTCTTCGGAGCTCTCCTCGTCGGTGCCGGAAGCGGGCGTGTTGGTGCTGGTGCCACCTTGGACAGGCGGTTGGCCCTCGGCGTCGGCCGAGGGGTGGGAGAAGGTCTCCCAGACGTCGGTGAAGAAGTCGGTGATACCCATTGTGAATGCTCCGGGGCAATTGGGGGTCCTCGAGTTGGGGTGCAGGTGGTAGCGGGAGGAGTGGGTGATGATTCGGAGAGCTGCGAGAGGTCGGCATCACGAAAATGGGCGGCGCCAAGCATTCCTGAGGTTAGCGGCGTCATGTAATTCTAAGCCATCTCAGTGGTCTCTGACTTGGCCGCACCACACACCATGTATTTCTCCAACAGAGTGCTATTGCAGTACGGAATGGCTGTGGCTAGTTCCTGTGCCTCCTGAATGCCTCTTCCACGCTCACGCCGCTTCCGACATCCGCAACCACCTTCTCGTCCGCCTCGACCAGCTTAGGCAGCAACTCGAGTAGTTCCTCCACCTTGCCCTGAGGCACCGCGACCACACCATTCTCAAATGGGTCTATCATTATGATGTCGCCTGCTTCAATCACCGTCTCGCCAATCCTTACCGGCACATTGTGTGCATGAAACTTGGTCTCAGCCCCTGCGCCGATGACAGATGTCGCTTTGGACCAGATGGGAAGCTGCGTCTGATTGAGAGCCGTAATGTCTCGCACCCGACCGTCGACTACAATCCCCTCTGCACCTAGATGCTGCATGCGTGCTGCCATTATACCCCCGACAACTGCGCACGACTGTCCCGCGGGTTGGCTGATTACTACAATGGTGCCGCTCTCAGTATAGTCTGCATACGGCCTGGAGTCTGAGAGGTTGGAAGCTGGCATGGTTTCTGGCATCTTGGGTGGGGTTGGGAAGGATTTGGTTGCTTTAGGGATCATGAGAAAAGTTGATGCAGGCGCGAGGACCTTTCTGGGCTCAGGCTTTGGGATGCTGGATGTGTGAAGCAGCGGTCCTGACGATAGAGTCAACGGTTGATTCAACATGGGGTTTGGAAAGGTAAGTCGTACTGATGTCAGCGAGGAAGCCCGCACCTGGGACATGCAACTTCAGTAGACCATCAGCGAGCTATGCATGTTTAGCCATGATTCTGGGTACAGTCAGGTAAGGTGAGCGTACGTCACATGCCGCATATTCATACAACTTCTTCCACCTTGGAGCTGCCATGATCGTATACAGTAGTGTAAATTTTTGGAATGATGGAGGTGTTTGTAAATTGATCATAACACGCGGTGAGCTATGAGGCTCTTACCCCGCCAGCCGAGGTGCGCCGTACTCTAACAACTGCATCTTCTCCGATCTTGAGCTAGACACGCTTCGATACCTTGTGCACAGTACATCTTTACGCATGAACATTTGACTATTCGTGGTTCTTGAAATCTATCAGCAATACTTTGGGCACCTACGTCATCAATCCAGTGGTCCTGGGCCCGCATGACACACATGCAGTCGCAGCGCACTGCACTGCATATTGACTGAAGATGTGACGGCGCAGCTGGCGCAAGACGATAGCAGGGTAAATTTGGCAAAGTCGGCGTCTGCTTATGTCACGCCGATGTCGAGACGTGGACAACGTCAGATGTATCGCCAAGCGGAGATATGCAAGGGTCTCTCGGATTGACGATCCATCTGAGCACTGGCCTATTCTGTCGCTTTCCATACTGTGCTTCACCATTAACGCTCAGTGGCATCTCGCCGCCACGATTTCACAAACGCCCACGCGCGCCTGTTCCTTTTCTTCCATCTGGTGCTTCTCATAGACTTTGCGGCCTCTGCCGCTGTTTAATACTTTGCCCTGGCCTTCCACGCGGCCGGCGCTTTGCAGGTACGTTTTGCCACGAGTCCGACATCGCGTCATTGAACCCCTACTTATAAAGATATAGAACGTCGCTTCTGTCACCTCAGGACTGTGGCCTCCCATGTCTACTGTCATGCGATCTCAGTGGCAGGCCCTTGGGCGAAAGCCCGCGGCTACCGGTATGAGGCAGCTCTCTACTATCACAGCATCTGAGTCCATGTCGACAGCTGGCGCGCATGCACGTCGCTCAGCATCTTCGCTGTCTCAGGCTCCCAAACCCACATCTGTCACTTCTGGCACATCCGCAGGTCAGTCGCCGAGAGGAGTCAAGTTGGCCCGTCGTACTAACACTTTGTAGCATCGCGCATCGGACTATGCAATCCCTTCCTCATGGCCTCGCCCTTCGGTTCCCTCAAAACACGGCAATACACGACCATGTCGCACAACGGCCCGCTCTCGCACATTCGTCAGTTGGCCAAGCCCGGAATGCTCGGATTGAACCTCGTCCAACAGCGCTCGCTCTTCGGTAAACCCTCTTACGATCAACTCGCTCGGCTTGAACAGGCTGCGAACGCCAGCCCCAACAGCGTACCGGCTCAGGCTTCCTTCTACTCTGCACTCGTGCGCGCCGATATGCACCAAGTCATCGTCGACCGGTACAACACTGGACGTTTCGCTACCAGCGCTATAATCAACAAGATCTACAACAATGCTTTGGCAAAGACGGGACAGGAAGGCGGCGCACAGTCGGGTCTCAACGAGCAACAGCGACAGGCTATCAGCCAGGCTGTCGGTGCGAATGCTAGTAACGCTCAGGTCGCAAGGACTACGGGCGGCACTGGCGTCAAGGCTGACCCCGTTTACGTCGTTGTAGAAGAGTCCATGATGAACGTCGTCTTCAAGTGGGTGCGCTGGATGTTCGGTTTCGCCCTGGCTTGCTACGTTTCCCTGATTCTCATCACACTCTTCGTTGAGACCAGCGGTGTCCTCAAGAAGGTCGGCGGCGGTACTACTGCTGAAGTCCGCCCCGAGCAGCAAACCACCCGCTTCAGCGATGTTCACGGATGCGACGAGGCCAAGGAAGAACTTCTCGATGTTGTCGACTTTCTCAAGAATCCCGACAAGTACAATAAGCTCGGTGGCAGACTTCCCAAAGGTGTACTTCTCGTTGGCCCTCCCGGTACTGGTAAAACACTGCTGGCTCGTGCTTGCGCAGGTGAAGCTGGCGTCCCCTTCTTCTACATGTCTGGTTCCGAGTTCGACGAGGTCTATGTCGGTGTCGGAGCAAAGCGTGTCCGCGAACTGTTTACGGCTGCTCGATCCAAGGCTCCTGCCATTGTCTTCATCGACGAACTCGACGCGATAGGCGGAAAGCGCAAGTCACGCGACGCCAACTACCACCGCCAGACCCTCAACCAGCTTCTGAACGATCTTGATGGTTTTGACCAAAGCACCGGTGTCATCTTCATTGCTGCGACCAACCACCCCGAACTTCTCGATCAAGCTCTACTCCGTCCCGGTCGTTTCGATCGCCATGTTCAGGTCGAACTCCCTGACGTTGGTGGCCGACTTGCCATCCTCAAGTACCACACCAAGAAGATCCGCCTGTCTCCCGATATCGATCTCTCGTCCATCGCCCGCGGCACCCCAGGCTTTTCTGGTGCCGAGCTAGAGAACCTCGCAAACTCTGCCGCTATTCGCGCCTCCAAGCTTCAATCAAAGTTCGTCTCTCTCAATGACATGGAATGGGCCAAGGACAAGATTACCATGGGCGCTGAGAAGAAGTCGCGCGCCGTTCCCCTCCAAGACAAGATTCATACCGCTTATCACGAAGGTGGTCACGCACTTGTTGGTCTCTTTACTCAGGGTTTCAACACCGTGCACAAGGCTACTATCCTGCCGAGAGGCCATGCTGCGGGTATCACATTCTTCCTCCCACAAGAGGACCACCACCACACACGCAAACAATACATCCGCCAGCTGCAAGTAGCCATGGGTGGTAAAATGGCCGAAGAAATCGTGTTTGGCGCGGATAACGTCGCGGACGGCGCGTCGGGCGATATCCAACAAGCCACCTCCCTGGCCTACAACATGGTCACAGCCTGCGGTTTCTCTGACAAGCTCGGCAACGTAGATTTCAAATCAAACTACGAAATGGTATCGCCAGAAACCAAACGCCTCATTGACGATGAAGTCCGACGGTTGATTGACGAGGCCAAGAGTAGTGCGAGACAGTTGTTGTTGAGTAAGAGGGCAGAGCTGGATAAGCTGGCTGATGCGCTTGTACAGTATGAAACTTTGGATAAAGAGGAGATATTGAAGGTTATCAAAGGCGAGGACTTACCGGGTCGGTTGAAGGCTATGCCTAATGCGCCGATTAAGATCCCGGAGAATCCTCTTCCTACTGCTATTTTACCGCCGCCGAGAGGGAGTGGTGGTGATGGTGGGAGCGGGAATGGACCGCCTGGGCCGCCTATACCTGCGTAAGGAACGCGGGTGGGCTGGGGTGGTAGCATGATTGTTGCGGATGCAAAGCACGCATGTGTCATATCTGGGTGAAATGGCGTTGTAAAATCCGCCCTTTTTTCTCCCCTTTCTCCTTCTTACCTTACTAGAGGGGATGATTCGCTTTTTTTACATAGCGGTTTTGGAATGTACAATATCAATATTAAGCATGAATGACAATCTGGAAGCATGATGAATCTCTGAGATTGAGACTTATTGTCGTTCACGATGTGTGTGGTGGAGAACGTGCAAGGACGGCATGCGCAAGGGAGAAGGACTGGTTAGACTGATGATACGAGGGGGAAGGACAAGCAGTGAGAAGGAACGGAGGGTTGAGTTGTATGCGATGAAGGTATCTCCTGCTGACTTTGTCCTTTGGACAGCTAATTGAGCCGGATTTCGATATCATAGCATATCTATCCGTAGATGGAGGTAATATAAGTTGGCTTGCTGGAATTCGTTGCCAAGGTTTGGAGACTTAACTTTGACGTAGCATTTGTTCCCTGAACGCTTTGTTTAGATATCTACTACCATAGTGGGCTTGGTCGAAGCACGCACGTAACTTGGCCATGTGGTCGCCTCTGCCCCCGACGGCTGCGGCCCCATCCAGGGGTTCTTGAGATTTGGTTGGTGCGCATTTATCGCAGCGTGGTTGCTCCCCTTTATGATCGTGGCAAGGGCCTAGGCCACACTCTGCACATAAAGTGGAACGTTGGCCATATTAGCCAGAGGTGGTGCGGAGGGTGGTGCGGAGGGTCGGAGGATCAAAGGTGGGCTAGCTACGTCAGTACTTGGCAAGATGTATACTTGGGCTTTTCTCAGCGAGTTTCGGCCATCTTAGTCAATGTTTTTTTTTTGGCCAACATGGAATTGTTGTTATTCTTCTTGGAAATCTGCTTCTATTCAAGTATCTTGGTACTTTGAAGTATTCTGAAGTCGTAACAGTTTACTGATCGGTGTCTTAGGTTATTACGAATGGCGTGGTAACATGCATTTATCGCCTGACTTTTCATCCTCTAGCAAAATATCCTGGACCGAGGTTGGCCGCCGTGTCTGAGGTTCGGAATCCCCACCCTAAACATGATTCGATTAACAAGTTGGCTTTAGCTGTGGTATATCCGGAAATGGACTTCTGGTCGCTGGCCGTTCGTCATTGAGGAGGTACACCGTAAATATGGTAAGTCGTAGTACAATACAGGGTTCCGAAAAGACGGATGATGACAGCTAAGCTGGATAGGGGATGTGGTTAGGATAGCACCAAATGAGCTATCGTTCGCCACTGTACAAGCATATCGGGACATATATGGACATGCAGTCAAAGGAAAACAGCTTTTCCGGAAAACTGACTGGTACCATACGGCTGGCGATCACCCGGGTATTGTCTCTGTTACTGAACCTACCCAGCATTCGAGACAAAGAAGGTACCTGGCACATGCTTTCAGCTCACAATCCTTGCGCAATCAGGAAGCCTTCATCCATCACTATGTTGACCTTTTCATTCGGCAGATTGGTCGCATTGGAGGCAGTGCAAGTCAAGGCATCAATCTCGAGGAAGCTTTCAACTGGTTGACATTCGATATAATTGGTATGGTCATAGGGCCCCCCTTGGATCCCGGAGGAGCTTTAAAAGCTGATAAAGACAGGTGATCTAGCATTCGGGGAGTCATTCGATGCCGTTGCCAAAGGTCAAACTAATTTTTGGGTTTCTTTGATCATCGACGCCACTTGGTTCATGATGCTGGGCAACCTCCGCTACCGTCTTCCCATTATCACCGTATTCCTGCCCTTTGTCGCCCCGAAAGGCGCGGCAAAGAATTTCCATCAGCATATGTTGTTGACGCAAGAGAAGCTGTCGAGACGCCTCAAGATGGAAAGCTCTCAGAGCCGTGCCGATTTCTTCTCTCATCTGCTTCGCAAGGATGGCAGCGATGTTCCAGAACCAGAGCTACGACAGCAGGCTATGACACTGATCGTTGCAGGGTCCGAGACTACGGCAACATGTCTCACTGGTCTCGCATATTTCTTACTCAAAAACAACGAAAGCCTTGCTCGACTTACTCAGGAAATTCGCTCGCAATTCCAGTCTTGCGATCAGATTACGGGTGACTCTACTGCAAATCTCACGTATTTGCAAGCTGTTATCGAAGAGGGACTGCGGATTTTCCCCCCTGCTCCCTTTGGATTGCCACGAACGTGCCCCGGTGCCGTCATCGACGGCCATCATGTGCCGTCCGGCACGACGGTCAGTGTTGATCATTGGACCACAAAACACGACTCACGTTACTGGGATGAACCGATGGAGTTTAAGCCCGAGAGATGGATCGACAGGACTTCTCAAGACGTGAGAGAAGCCAGTCAACCATTCTCTCTGGGACCTCGAAGTTGTCTGGGCATCAATCTAGCCTACCTTGAGATGAGGATAATCTTAGCCAAGATGGTGTTTGAGTTCGACTGGGAACTTGTGAACAAGGATCTTGACTTTTTAAAGGAGACCAGACTTTACTTGCTATGGAAGAAGCCAGCTGTAGTGGTCAGGTTCCACGAGCGAGAGTGCTAGGGGCCGATGGATGCAGAGAACAGATTGACTTTGGTAGCATTCGATGCATGTAGAAAGATCTCTTGACCCGCTAGCTAGAGGCCGACTTCACTAATCGTTAGAGAGTGCCTTGCTTCACCTCTCTGTTTTGCTTGGCGACAAGACTTACAAACGCGACATCTGTTTTTCGCCGGTGTATCGTAAAGAAACAGGCCACGTATGCAAATATTCATGCTACCATGTGTAGATAGTAAGGTAGAAACTTTGCACATGAACCAAGCACTATGCTCGTAGATCTGAGGTGCACTCGTGTATTGGAGGCCGAGTCTCCTCCCGATCACTTCAGGTTTTTAGTGCTAAGACTAGGCTAGGAAACCGACATTTTTGCGATCTAAATCATGCTTAAGATCTCAGGATTCCTACTAAAATTTCAATGGAATAGAAATGAGACGACAGCGGGTCCGCGGTGGAGATGGAATCTTGCTGCGCGACCATGTAACGCGCGGCCAAATGCCAAGATACCAAACTGGTATAACACCCTCCGCTACAAGATTCGTCAAGGCTTGGCCGGTCGACAAGAGAGACTACCATTTATCTGGGTGTCCGAGATCCAAGCCGGGTGAAGTGACCATATAGGTATCGCGCAGGAAGGGTCGCAACACATGTATAAAGCACGGAGGTCACATAGGTAGGAAGGTATCTATGATTCATCCCTTACCTGCCAGAATTCAATATTGTTGCAATGTCGGATTCCACCTCCCTATCGTGGGCTCCGAGAGCCTATCCGCCCACCACCCTTGATAATGATGGGGTATGTCATAGAAATCAGGAAGGAGGATTGGCAACAGCTAATTGTGGAAGACAAACGTCAATAGATACGATGTCAGGCAAACGCTTGCTTACATTAGCGAGGACCTAAATAATGTTAACAAGTAGGCCTTTGATCTCGTAACAGATCCTGTATAAGGCTGACAGGTTTTAGCGTTTTCATGCTCTACTTTATCACCACCAAAGATGGCAGGAAATACCACTTGACTACCAACGCAGGGATGAGAGGCTCTGAAAAGCTCGGCTCATTCATTTCAATAAACGATTTGACCGAGAAAAAATCACGAGGAAACTCCATCCTTGAGCAGGGGTCTGGAAACCCTCAAGTTCTGGCAATGAAGAGTGTGGCACAGAGCGTCATTAGCCCTGTTGATGGAGACAAGTGGACCGGCACACACCACACCCTCGCGTTATCGGGCGTCAAGTTAGACACGATCTTGAAACCAACTGGAGGCAACTTTTACTACGGAGGCGGTGGCGGAATCCAATTGATGGGTCGAGGACCTGATCCAGATTATTCGACTTCTTTGCCGGGATGGTCATGGTATTGGGTGAGTTCTCCCTACGACATGTACAAGTTTTTGGTGCTAAAGCTTTACAATAAGGCAAATCCTACTACACGGGTCTCTGGTACTCTCACTGTAGACGATGTCGAATACAAGATAGACACAGAGCAATCGTTCGCTCTGTTCGAGAGACAGTGGGGCAACTTCCAGGTTGGCAAAGGCTATGTTGCGCTCTGGCTTTTCCTTGAAACGGGGGAAGTCTTGAACACATGGTGCATGGAACCGGATGTCGAGGGCGTTACTAAGGTCGCGTTCGCATCAGTCTGGCACCCAAATGGCTTGCATGAGATGATTCCCGTTGGCCCAGACACGCGATTCAGCGGTGCTCACACGAGCCCGGCAACAGGTCTGACGTATTTCACAACGTTTTTCCTGGACCTTCCAGCCAGGAATGCATGTTTCACATTCAACAAGTGGTTTCAAGATGGGGAATTGGAACCCGTTGAAGAGCAGAGGAATAAGTACATCACGATCATGGAATCTTACGGCGAGGGCGAGGGCCAGTGGGGTAGTGAAGGAGTGAAATTCTATGGCCATGTTGAGCAACTTCAGCTAGACAAGATCTCTTGGTAGTTACAGCTAACGTAGCTCTCGCTGAAAAACAGTTCGAGCTATGAATTAAGTTACAGATATTGGATCACATTACCCCAACAAGTAGGCCATGTGTGTATGGCTAGTTTCAGCGATTTGTAACGCTATTTGTAGAGGCTGGTTCGCTGCAAGATCTTTCTAGCTCTACTACAATTGAAACTGCGGAAAATAAATCGCGAAGAAAGCTCTAGTATCCTCCGAATACTCAGACAAGGTCCAGCAACATGGTGGAAATCCTTTGTTTCTAATGGAGGAACATTCCTAGCACCTGGAACGGAATATCTCATATGTAAAGCTTCTTTGATATGTACGCGCTTAACATTCGATTCACGTGGCCGTCAGGGTTGGGAGAGCGTATTATTGTCGACTCGGCTACGAACCATGGCGCCGTAAACCACTTCGCGCATCGTATTATGAATGATCATGACTGAAACAATCTCAAGTCTTTCTCACCATCCATACTTGCGCAAGGTACGCATACCTAGTCAGCGCCTTTCTGTTGAAGCCGTACTCCGCCTCTTTGCTCCGAACCTTCTCGTGCTCGAAAGTCATTTCACCGCACTCATTACCTATATCCTCAAATATGAAGTTCATCTCTCCAACAACATTGATGATCTCCTCCAGACTGAGCTGCACAAAAGGCCCGGTACCATAGAGAAGTGGGCCAAAGTTAATCCATCTACCGCCAGGCTTCAGCAGTCGGTGAATGGTGTCGAAGTAAGCCATGAGATTGCGGGCCGTGTCAATGAAGAAGTGAGTAACGATGACGTCGTAGTGGCCTGGTTGGTCATTGAAGGCGGTGTTGAAATCGCCCTCGACGAGCAATACAGCAGGGTTGGGAATCATATTGGGCACTGTGACACTTCGCGTCATATCGGATTTCGTGGCATGGTGCGACATCGCCTCGATGAAGGGGTGTATGGTGACAGCATTCGCATGCCTTTGTGCCTCCATGTAGCGATAACCAACGTTCATAAACATCGACCACTCGTTGATCGTCACCTCAAACCCTGTCACAAGGTCAGCAGCTGTGCTGTACACGATTTGAAACAAAGGTACCTCCAAGATTCGCAACATCATGGCCTAGCCGGCCGACTCCAGAGCCTGGCAGCAGTACTTTGAGAGATGCACCATTTGGAGACTCTGCTTTGATGTCGCGCAACGTGGTCAAGATGCATGGAAAGGCCTCGCTTCTCTCCTTGAGACCTTCGTCGGCCCAATCTCGTACGAAATGCTTCAATGCTTGCGCCGTCGCAAACTTGTCTGCTTGCCGCTGGTTCTTCTCGGCCTGCTTTATGTGCTCATCTAACTCCGCCTGGTCGATACTGTAGAACTCCATCGCATGACGAGCGATGCTCCGCGAGACAGCCGCGTTGACGTATATCAGTTCTTCGATTTCGTCCAGCTTCTTTGTGTAGCCAACCGCCTTCTCCAACACCTATGGCATCATCAGCGATTGCGAGAACAACATCCATGGTCCGCTGACCTTCTTCTGCTTCTTTCCAGTGCTTTTGTACAAGCTTCGCCATCGGTCCAACTCAGCCATGTGACGTTCGCGGTAATTGGTATATGCCCACAATGCTTCGAGAAGTCGGTATCGCGGATGGCTCGTTCCCCATTTACCGCTCTTCTTATCCATCCTCTTGAGGAGGTGCGCCTTCTCTTGTCGGTGGCGAGGTGAGTCGTCGCCGTTGCTCGAGGACATGGCACCCATCATCATCGGATCCTGTGCTATATGCGCCTCGTCAATGGCCATGTTGACTTGGGCGGCGCCCGGTGTGCTACCTGTCGCATGGGCTTGGCTCTCTCTACTCGGTGTGCCGACGTTGGCCAAAGCCACTGAGCTGAGGCCGGCGAAGACGAGTAGCAGCGATGGCTTCATTCTGAAGTTGACCAAGGCGTCAATCTGTTCCAAATCGAAGGGCTGGATGGACGAATTGCATTCGAATTTTATGGATGAGTACCGTGCTGGCGCCAAGCAGCTATTAATGCTAAGCGGTAGGATTATGCATACTGTGGGCTCTCACGTAGAACATATGAACTTCGAGAAGATGGTGATATGAACATCTGCGAGAGATGCGGAACACCAAAGATGGAACAACAATCAATGCGACATCGCTTGTTGTCGCTCCAGGCCTCGGGTATCGCAAAGCCTCACGGGAAGCATGCAAGTGGAGTACGTTGAGGACATGGCCTTGCGCGATACTTCATCCCGGAAAACCGCTCGTGCTATCGCGATATGGTGATGGTGTTCGAGGATGTACAGGGGCAATAGCGCAAAGGCGTAGAGAGTGCACGGGCCATCACCCTACGTCATCCGCCCGACTACCCCATGTGGCCGTCGGGACGCACCGCCTTCATACACAACCCTAGACTACACACGGATCTTCAGGCAGGGTCTTGTAACCTTCGTTCTTCCGGGGCAGTTGATATCAGTCAACTTGTTCCAGCCCTCGTTCGCTACACGACATGCAGCGCTATCGCACGGAATAACATGGGAAGCAGTCCGGGGCGCACGCTCACACGTTTACTACCACAACTACCACTCGCACCGAGTTCGCGCACTATGTCTCTTCTCACCTTGATTTCCCAAGCTTGTTGGGTTCAATGACCCTCCACCAGTAGCCGATAACACAGTCACAACCATCGTTGATCAAATCCAAGGTTGACGAGGTAGAATTTCAGGACACTTGGCCCAAAACGATGTAACACAGGCCCTGTGATTCTTCAACCATGATTTATCATTATTTTCAGTCTTCCGACTCCATTCGGTTCGTCATTTGCGTCATTGTGCAAGCAATCAATTCAATGGCTCGATTCAAGCAAGCACAATGGCGAAATTGTATTTACAACTTCGAAGGGCTAGCCAGTCGTTATAAACAATCGTGCGCCACTTCATTTTCTCTTTCAAGAGTATTTTCGTTGACGTTAGCGCGTTAGAACTTTCCCGGGCTCACCTTCACTGTGACTCTCGCTTAGTCGATCGCGACAACGAGAATACCACCTCGCACACACGACTGTCCCACCTCACCTGCCCCACTAGGGTCGTCGTTCAAGACACACAAAATCGACCTCGCCGCTGCGGAAGACAACAGTATGGCCCGCCTGAGTGCTCCCGCCAACATGACACCAAGAGCCGAGCGCAAGTCGAGCCGCTTCCGAGAGATCTTCAAACATCGACCCAGCTCGAGCGCATCCTCAAGCCCTGTTGACCTGACCAAGTCGTCCCTACCCGTGGAGTCAAGCCCGATGCCATCGCCCACTATGCCTCCAGGTTTCCAACAGGTCGGTTTGCTGCCCAGTGAGCGTTCCTCGCATAGCTCATCGCGGCTTTCGAAAGATGAAGAGGGTCGCGATATAGATACTGAATCAACAGTAGCTGAAGCACGAAGAAGGTCATTGAAGAGCGAATCTTCAACTCGAGATGCTTCCGATAACCTGAACATCGCCGGTGCGACGCCCTCACATGTGCAACCTACACTGCCGATGTTGAAGGCGGAGCACAGAATCAAGAAGAAGAGTCCATTTACCCAGTCGATGAGGCGTGTTGTTTCTCAGCGTCCGGCCCAGAACGCAGACCAAGACATCGCCACGATCCAGCCGGCCATGAATGAGGGTATTTTTCCAACAACCACGGGTGATGCGGACAAGCGAAGCAGTCTGCCACTGGATTCCCCCCACAAGATTTCAGAGACTGTGTATAGTGAGTACCTCTTGTATAAGCGTCAAGTCAGACATGCTAAATTCTAGTCAGACAAGAACAACAGCTCACGCACAAAAGGTGGTATTGACGGTCTCGACAGCTTTGTGGAACAGCATCGTAAGCTAACGCGCTCTTCATACCCTTGGCTCAACTAACCAGTTCACAGGCAACTCCGATTCTTCCGAGAACAGCGATCCAGCCGAAGACAACAGTCCCAAAAAGAAGAATACAGACTTTGAAAAGAAGATTTTAGACGACTTTGTGGCCGATCTTTCCATCTCTGAGCAGATTCGACCTTCGGTTGAGACTGCCTACGGGCACCAGGTGGACACCGCGGGAGATGGACGTAGCAGTCATCGCAAGTCCTTCACATCCGACATCTTCGACGATGACAGCTCCTTGAGCCAAGGCATTCGCGAGTACATCACCAGCAAGATTGCAGAAGCGTTGGCAGAACACGATCGCGCGCATTGTAGCAACGTTGATGCCACGACCAACCCGTCAGTACACATCACGATCAAGGTTGGCGGGATTGGTCTATTGGAAGCGGAGAAGCCCGCTAGGCCCAGCATTAGCGATAAGAAGACCGATATATTCACCCAACACAGCACGATGGGGCCAGTCACGATCACTAGCCCGCTGCTAGCACGGAATGCCCAGCTGGTTGTCCTGATCTTGTACGCAGTGACTTTGCTCGGCGCATCACTTCTGGGTCCGAGGAGTCTGCTGATCGTTATCTGGAGGATGGCGATCGCACTTGGTATGTACACTGCCGTGTTGCAACAGCTGAGTTGGACTAAGAACGTCGAGCGCGACGTATTCCTGGCGCCCGTTTTCTTCTTTGCCAGCGTAGCGACCGGTATGGGTGAGCAGCTACTGAATCGGGTGCGCGTGGTTACGATTGCCATACTGGTCGAGATTCTGAATTGCGTTGTGAGGCGTGCTGATGTCCGGATGCATACAAAGTAGATGTGTTTCGGCAGCACTAAGGTTCATGAAGAAGGTATCTGTAGGTAGCCTTTGGAGATGAGGATCCATCGAAGGCTCAAGCACTACGTGAATCAAATCTTGTGACGTAACTCTGTCTCATCTGAATGGCAGCATTCCGTTCTTCTCAACTCTGCCGCGAGGATACAGTGTAGTACTAAGTATAGAGAAGAACTAAGATGTTCTTACTAAAACTCAATCGCCAGTGTACCACTTAATTCCCTCTCCTCCACCACGACAAAGCCAACCCATGTGCCCCATCAACGACGCTAATTCTCCCTCTCCTGTGGACGACGCCTTCCCTCTTCGGCCTGCCAATCTCCCATCAGGCTCCTATCCTCGCCCTCTATATTACCCAATGCGCGTCGGCGTGTGTCGTTGGATTCGCGATCTACTTGCTCATCAGCAAGGCGTCGCGCCTTTTCCTTCCTCTCGTTGTTCTTCTCCTGGACCCAGATCGTAGCATCTGTGAGTTTCGTGACGAGGAAATTGGCCATAGCGTGAGGAATGGATTCAGGGCCGTTTGGAGACATTGTGGCGTTCTTCTTTTCTCTTCTTTGATGAACAGTACTAGGCTAGAATGTGACGTAAACAGGGCGTGTGGTATATAGTAGTGAGGATGTCGAAGAGGTTCAAGTGTGCGATCAAATTTGTGGAGGCAGGAGACTGTTTGCAGTTTCTGGAATGCGCGCGTTGGCAGAGGTGAAGGGACCTTACATTTGCCTTCCACGGTTCGCGGTGGACCCTTGAACCACATTCAACGTCGGTGCAGCCTGCGACTCTCTTGCCTTGGTCATGACTTACTCTTATTCACTTGAGCTGTTCGCTTTGAAAGCCTTTGCGCAATCGCGCTATGATCTTCCCATATCACTCATACATGGAAGCCTGCTGCCCTCCATACACATGTATCACTCCCGAAACTCGACACAGCAACATAATTCACTCCAAGCACCTGCTACCCATGACCAGAGCCGATACCGGTGCTGCGATAGAGGACCCAAACGTATTAGTCCGAAAGGTAATCTGAGTCTTGCGCGACACTGCAGACGTCCATACCTATGACCTGCATTCTCTCAGCGCCGAAAATTTTGCCAAGCTGGCACGCAGTACTTTCCAAGACACTGCCGAGGTCATGGGAAGGTCGTTACTCTAGATCTACGTATCAGTACGGTCTCACCGAACCTTCATCAGAACACAGTCGACTAGAATCGACGTCCATAAGCGATCCCCGCTAGTTAAACACTCATCCTATCACAACGTTACGTGCTTGCCAATTCAGGTTTTTCCTAGCGCTCGATATCGGCCTGAGTCACTTTTTACCCACCGCTGTATCAGCTTCACCCAGAGGGAGGGCTCCATTACCTACAAGGTCATACCCGCGCTTCACCTTTCTGGTACTAAGGTAGTCTATTCTAGCGCCATCGGGCACTTCGGTGTCGCAGACTTTGCTAATCGCGATGATAATACCTACGTAGGATTTCTATGAGTGTGGATAGACTCGACATCTGCAACCTCGACATCACCCTTACGCACCAAAGCGCCAGTAACGTGGTCACGCTCGAGATCTGGTTGTCAGTTGAGGGCTGGAACGGACTCTTCCAGGGCGTTGTCGGCGGAGGCCGAGCTTCAGGCTTTCACGACACACCCTGTTTCGGTAATGCCGTCAAAGATGGCTAACCCCCTTGTGAAGTCCGCCAAGTCTGTCTTTGTGCTCGCTGTTTACGTTTCTAGCCGCGACCTCGGTCTAGACTGCGGCGGCACCCCTGAACTAACCCCGGATCACCACGACCCGCTCTCAACGCTAGCCTCATGTACATGATCCGCGATCACAGATGCTAGTTTGAACAGAGCATCAAGCCACAGATCTGGAGAGTATTGAAAGGCTGCAAATCCGGAGCTGAAGTCTTGCAAAATCTTGCGATGGACGCATTGCTTCCCCGTTAGGCAGTTTTCCTCTACGCCCTGGCCGTAACAGGTGACGGTAAGCATGCATAAAGCTGTGAAGCCCGCTGTCTTTTTTGTCAACAAGACAAGCTTCGCATCTTCTCGAAAACACACTCCAGAATGGCACCTGCCCTCCGCGCATTTGCGCTTGCACTGCGAGCCTCGTCGATCTGCCCGTCGTCCCCCACCTGCCCCCAGGACGACCAATGCTCCCTCACCTCGAATGGGGTCACTCTCCAAGTCAGCTGTGCGACTGACTACTACGGCGGCGATTTGCAATTGGCACAAGTAAGCATGGCCAACTCTGCAGTGAGATGCATCGATTTGACCCCTAATCTTTTCATAGACATCTACGTTAGCAGGTTGCATCCGAGCATGCTCCACGACCGCGGGGTGCAATGCTGCAAGCTACGTGGGTGGTAACTGCTACCTCAAAAGCACGCTCAATGCGGCTCAGCCCAAGTATAGACTACTCTGCTTCGTTACCAACTTTCCATTGACTCAGCCATTAGTTCCAACGTGATCGGAGTAGCTGTGATCTCTAGAGATACCTCACCAATGCCTGTTCCAACGCCGGATACCCCCAAACAGTGCCCTGCCAGTTTTACCTGCCCGGAGAACGATGGCTGCTCGTACACTGATGGTTCACGTACACTGACTCTTACTTGTGGAGTTGACTTCTATGGAGGTGATTTCACGAATCAGTACGCAGCAAGTCTCGAGGGTTGTACACAAGCTTGCGCTGGAGACGCACAGTGCGTGGCCGCTTCGTTTGTTGGTGGCAAAGGTGACGGTCGTTGCTATCTCAAGAACACAAAGAACGGTGGTTCTGTGAATGACGGTGTTGATGGTGAGTCACTGATCTGACTTGCGTAACATTTGCTGACAATCAAAAGCTGTCTACGTTGTCCCCAATACCGTTCAAACAAGCAGTTCAGCATCGAGTTCAACCCCATCGCCTTCCTCGACTGTTACATCGACAGAAACCATCTCGTCCACTAGCACAGATGTTATCAGCTCTACCTCAACTTCGACTTCAACTTCGACCCCTACCCCCACACCCACTCCCACACCTGAGCCTACTCCCACACCTACACCCACTCCTACTCCGACTCCTACCCCGACGCCTGTGCCACAACCTACCTGTGGCGTTAACGGTAACCCAAGGCCAGGAGTGACCTACACCAACATTGCTCAGCAGACCCAGGCCACTTGCAAGACCCGGTGCCAGTACTACAATCTTGCAGGCCGTACCTGTCGTGTCTACGCTATCAACTCCACAACCAGGGTTTGTACTCTAGCATTGGGATTCACTGCACCGACGTTCGATCAGGCTTTTACTCCTAGTAACAATGGGGCGTACACCTGGTACGCTCTGGAATGCCCAGTATAAGGAGAGTATCTTCATGTACTTATTTCGCGATGGTGTACATCGATAGTGCAAGCTAAAAACGTCTTCGGACATCAAGTTTGAATGATACCCAACATATCATTCATATCCACACTCCTCTATCCCTCTGGTGTGATCTCTTCTATCATCTCTAACTAAAGATTCTCCCCATCCGCCCCTAATCTCCGCAGCCACCAGGCTGGTCCCCGAGTTCTCTTCCTTCAACCACGGTTTGATGTTCTTCCTCGACTTCTTTTCTCCCTATAGCCTTCTACTCTCCAGATACACCATCGAATTCTCCTGACACCCAACAGCGAAACTCGCCCTCCGTAAGGTCGCATCCGCCAATATCACTACCAACAGCCTTACATCCTCCCCCCGGCGCATATCACTTCTCGAATATCACCTTCGATACCAGAACGATCCAGCAGACATCGAACGACATCTGCAGACCATGCATCGCATCTACCGAGAGAGCCACTGGACGGTTGTGACACTTTCTCGTACCGTTACGGCTGATGACATATAGATGGTTCCAGTCTCGTGGCCAGAAACGCTGATAGACCCGGGCAGAAATACGTATCATAGCGTTGCAAAGGAGTTTGTCCAGTCACTCTATCATATTTCAACAGACCGGTGGTTCACTCTAACGTGGAATCTACAGGAGAAACAATACGCATCGATACTCAAGTTCCCTATTCCCATCGATATAGAATTACACAAGCCAGAAGATGTTCAATCTTTGGTAGTCGAAAACGATATTTGCATAGACGCGGAGGACCTGTCTTGAGCCGCGAGAGTCGGCAAGACGGGCAACATCAAGGAGCGGCTCAATCTTATCTACATGCCAGGCTTCAAGGGCCGTGGACAGCCTTCCAGCGAGGAACTTTCTTCTATCGCGCTTTTCATACATGCAATCAATTCGTGCGACAACCAGGTCATCGCCGATCGTATATCGATCTTCGCAAATGCCTGTGACTTTAGGTACCGCTTGCAGTCAAATCGATCGGACCGATCAGATATCAGCTATGCTATGTGCCTTATAGTCTTGACATCAGCCAACCCAGCTCTGATCTTGACGATCTTGTTCAGAATAAAGCAGCTTTCATACGAACAAACATCAGATACAGAATTGTGGCGATTTTTCAGAATCGAGTCAAGATCAGCTAAGAATCGGAAATTGTCAAGCGGAGAGATAGAGTCAGCTTACTCCTACATTGTACTGGGAATTTATCGTCTGGAAAATCTTGGTCAGGCAAGGTATCCAGACCAGCATCTAGAGGAGCATTTTGGCCCCAATGCGCAACAAGGTAAGCAGCCTCATGATTTGCCGCAGGGTCGACGACAGCATGCGTTATATCATTTGTACAGACGGCTCGCGCAACTTTTCGAAGATCACCTTAAGAGAAGCATGCGCTGCAACACCAGTGTGACCGCCGTACTTCTCTCTCATATCTTTGTTGAACCAGTTCTGGATGTGGATCATCACGTCCTGACCACAAAAAGATGCTGCTTTTAGATGGTGATGTGGCTATGTTGTCAATTCACGTTCAAAGCTCATGGCCATGCGCCACAATTCAAAAGAAGCACGACCCACTTCCTTTAGGACAAGCAGTATGGAACAGTGAATCATGTACTTGCATCAAGCTCAGGTGGTGATATCGTGAGGGTTTTGATGTTCCTCCGAAGTTCCGAATAAAATCGGAACGTTGACGCCGGGGTAAAGAAGTCCGCGCTTGCAGGTCACGTTCCATCCTCGCGAAAATTGAAACCGGTTCGATTGCGCTACCACTTTACCAGCCCAAATGCGATCGGTCCTTCTCCACATCGCTCGACGTCACGTAACCACTGCGGAGTAGCACGATCGCGGAGCACTGAGGACCGGACGCGATGGAAGTCCTGGCTCACGATGACTACCGGGGCGACTTCGGCAGCTTGAACCAGCCCTGGAACCTCATTGGCAGTCACGCATGTAAGGCACCATGAACGTGCCGCCGTTGCACCGGCATGGAAGAGCCGGTGACGGAGATGAGCTTTTAGTGCACTCTGTGAGGTACAATAAGTTGCAATGGCCAGCTGTGATTTTCGTCTCGCGCGATCGCACCTTTAGGCCTTGCGACAATACGCTTCAAAATGCCTGTTCGGCGGCACCCTTGCCTATCACGACTCGTCCTTCTGGGTTCAACGATTGGATCATCATCGCTTGTTTCGGCAGCTTCACAAGATGGAGTATCTCGAGAGTCGTTATGGTCGTTCGTGGACCCTTTGATTGGGACCGTCGGCTCACGCCCTGGTTCCGCGATTGCAGGTGGCAATTCATTCCCTGGTGCGAGTTTACCCTGGGCGATGGCGAAGCCTGGAATCGACACGAGCTACATAGGACTTCCAAATGGCAGTGCAGTGGACGCAAATGCTGGATACACTCCCCTAGGCAACGTGACGGCCGTGAGCATGACCCACGTCAGCGGATCTGGCGGAGCACCAACGTGTAGGCTCCCTGCTTCCCCGGTCAGCTCATAGTACTGACAAGAGATAGATGGATTGATATCGCAGATGCCACTCTTTGGCAGTCTAGCCTCTGTGAATCTCGCCGACAACATGACTTACGCCCAGAATCGCAGTCTTGACTTGGAATCTGCGACAGTAGGCCTATTTACTACGACCCTGCAGAATGACATCAAGATCGAGATAACTTCCAGTAACCACACTGGATACATGCGATACACCTTCCCACAATCGGAAACGCCTTCGAATGTTTCATCTACCCTGACGATTGCGGGAGCCGACGCAACGCATGAACAGGACGCGCACGTACTGGTAGACCTTACGCATGTACTTCCGGCCTATTCCTCCATGGCCTATTCGCAAAGGTTTTTGCGCGGAGAGCTGCATATACCATCGTCTTCCAACGCGTTGCCATCGTACCATGGATCTGCAACCTACACAGGCGGATGGCCACAGCCTGATTCTCATACGATCCACTTTTGCGGAAACTTCAGTATACCCGCGAACTCAATGTTAACCCCAACGTCAGACTATATCCAGGGTGAGCACTCAGATATCGCTCCTGGTGCTGGCACATTCAGTTGGCAATACAACCCTTTCTCGCCGCCGACGACTCGACCGGTCCCTAGGGGATATCCTGATGTGCGATCCTACTCTGGAAGCGGGATGGGCCTCGGTGCTCTATTCAGTTGGTCGCCAACAGAGGCGCGGGTGAACGGTACCCTTACAATTGAATCCAAAGTTGGCATCTCTTATATCAGTGCTGCCCAAGCTTGCTCGCATATTGAAAACGAGCTTCCCGATGCAAGCTCTTTTGAGGACGTCATAGACCAAGCGAGACAGGAATGGGAAACGAAAGTTTTGAGCAAAATCCAGATCGGAGATGACGGAGATGTGACAAGCAACAACGCGACATTGAAACGAATGTTATATTCAGCCCTATATCAGACGGGTTTGATGCCGACTGACAAAACCGGTGAGAACCCTGTGTGGAATTCGGATGATACAAAGCCATATTATGACGATCACTATGTAAGTTGACCCCTTGCCAACAATGTTCTGGAGACTGATTGCTACAGACTCTGTGGGACACGTACCGGACCTTGTTACCTCTGTACCATCTGATCTTTACAAAGCCGTACTCCCGCGTTCTATCCGGACTGATCTCAATCTTCACTGAAGAAGGCTATTTACCGGCAGGACGGGCAGCGAACTGGAACGGCCGAGTTCAGGGTGGCACGCACGCAGACATAGTGTTAGTCGACGGTTTCGTAAAGAGCGTTCGCGCACTATCCGGTGAGACAGGTCGTGGCGAGCTTGACAGCGCGATCGATTGGCAGGAGGCCTACAGGGCAGTGATGAAAGACGCAAATGTAATGCCCGAGCGTAACCTTGATCCGGTAGCATTTGATGGAGCGACCAAGGAGGGAAGAGGGGCATTAGATGACTATCTGTCCCTTCAGTTCATCACGCGCAATCACACTCGCAGCATCTCTCGTGGCGTCGAGTACCCGCAGAACGACTTTGCGATTTACAGTATGGCGCGAGGACTTAACAAATCTCAAGATACGGTCGATCAAATGCGTGCCCGGGCGAGCTGGTGGCAGAATCAATGGAATCCCACAGCTCACACAACTCTTGACGGTATCGGCACGTTCACTGGGTTTCCAGGTGCTAGAAACTCCGACGGTACGTGGAATGTCACAGCGTATGACCCACTAAGCTGTGGTACTTGCGGTTGGGACGCCGACATATACGAGGCCAAGGTCTGGGAGACTGCGTTTAGTGTCGCTCCGCACGATATGGCTCAAGTCATCAACCTAATGGGTGGCGATGAGACATTCGTTCGTCGACTGGACGCCAGTTTCGTCCCCGGTCTTGGCACATCGGTTGGTGCCAATAACGACGCTGGCTCCGCCCTTTTCAACCCCGGCAATGAACCATCTTTCGCGACACCCTTCCTCTACAACTACGTCCCTGGAATGCATTGGAAGACAGTCAATCAGACACGCGCCACAGTCGACGCTTTCTACAGCGATGCGCGCAACGGGTACCCGGGAAATATTGACGGCGGCGCGCTACCCAGCTGGCTGATCTTCAATCTTGTGGGCATATACCCCATGCCCGGTCAGCCGCTCTATCTTCTTTCCGCCCCCCGGTTCTCATCACTCAACGTTTCTCTCTTCAGCGGAACGTCGGTAGAGACTTCCTTGACTGTTTTGGCACGGAATCTGTCAAACACGAGCTATTACCCGCAGAAAGTCACTTGGAACGGGGAAGAGCTCGATCGAGCTTGGCTGAAGCACGGAGAGATCGCACAAGGGGGTGAGTTGGTATTCTACATGGGCGAAGAGCCTGCGAGGTGGGACGTTGGTGAGCGGCCGTGGTCTTTGTCGGCATGGCTGTGAGGATGGTTAATGATCGTTGAGTGAGCGCAAGAATGAGCTTCGTTGTTATGTGCGACTAAGTGCTATGAGAATGAACTTGTGTATATGGATCTGTTGACAGCTAATAGAGCTGAAGCTGAGTAATCCAAATGCTAGTATACTACTTTGCGCGAAAGCCACGATGGGTAGTCTTGCCGAACGATAACCTGGCAGCACCACAGGTGGGGGGTTGCTGACGTGTTCCTCTTCTACAATGCATTCCCCGACGCCTTATATAGGATAAGTGCCCTGCATTAATCCCTTACCCTTTGTTCTGTCCGACAGTCGGCTCTCAAACCTGCATTCTTGGACCGAGCCAATCAGTCTGTGTTTGTTCCTGACAGTATAATAGGATGAGGCCCGGAATGCCCTTCGACCTAATGACTATACTCTTTTACTTTCTGGTGGTCCAAGGTAGCTTTGTCTAACACCACCAAAATCAAGAATGACTTTTTGTAGGGTTATGCCAGGCTCGAGTAGCCACACCATAAGAGTTTGCTTGCCGGGCGCGATTGTTGTGTTACTCACACTGGCCCATGCTGCGTTGGAAACAGTTTGATCCCACCCTACCGGAAGGGCACCGCCATCCTGGTCGATCACATACTGCACCACTTTTCGGGGTGAGCCATCAATAGCGACAGCGTACTTCAAAGGCCGAGTTGGGTCTGTATTCAGACCCTGTCCTAAGATCATAGTTATATTGGTTGGCATGGTCGAGGTTGTGTTGGTGAAGCTATAGAAATCGTACTCGAGAAGGGGCGCGGTAGTTCCGTTCACGTATGACGGCGCAAGAAGATCGCGCAATGCGACACCACTTAAAGTTCTCCCGTACCATGGAATGATTGTGTAGGCGGATTCTGAGCCATTGCTGGCATCGCCGACAACACGGGAATAATGACTCACTTCCATAGCGACATAACCGTCTGACTCCACGAAGCCTCGAAACCATGGAGGTACAACTGTATTGTTTATTGGGAAAACTAAGGATGGTCCTAACCCATTGGCAGGGCCTTGTTGCTGGCCATAACCAGTCGAGGAAGTAACGTTGATTACTGTACTCGATGAGCCACTCGGGGCAGCGACCCAGTCGACGTTGAGAAATATTCGAACATCAGTATCACCGGGAGAGATGGTGCCCTGGTGAGCCGAATCACCGTTTTCGAATGTAAAGTTCACGTATGAAGGCCCGACAATACTCCACAAGGTGGTGTCAGTCCCCATGTTAAACAAATCAACAAACCTTGTTCGTCTATACGGGTCCGCCGGGAGGATTGTCAGTTGGTTCGAGAATAGTGCAAGGTATGGATCATCGCCTGGAACGCTGGCATTTGTACCCTCTGTAGTGACTCCGAGATCGCCAGCATATGATCTTTCAAGCATTTGAACATACCTGACTGGAGGAGAGAGCTGTCGTTTTGGTTGATTCCATTGGACGTAGCCAATATGGGCTTGGTCCATCATATGATTCCACTTGCCACTGACGAGTGAATGATACTTTACGGTAAGGTTATGATCTTCTTGGAAGCCATGAAGCACCTTCTTGGCGTAGCTATTTGCGGTATTTCTTCCCTGGATTCCGTAGATGAGATTTTTTGCTGAGTTCACATTGACTTCGTGCACAGCCTGTCCAGCAAGGATAGGATGGAGTATCAGCTCGAAGAAGGCTGCATGGTATGAACTAGGCAGGCCGGAATCGATCGCTAATGCCGATTGTGGAAGTTCTGCCCACTCTTGGAGTATGATGTCGGCTTCGTTGTAGTTAATCACAGAGTATGTGTCTGGTTCGACAAGCTCAAACTTCCTTCGACCAGCAAGTTGACCGGATCAATCCAGTAGATAGGTAATTTCAGTAGCATATGACTCGCCGAAAGTCTTTGACGCCCACATTCGTTCCCAGGTTGAACCGCTGTCGGGTGCAGTCCACTCACTGTAGTCGTAGGCCATTTCCAGGAAGAAGGTGAGTGGAATCTCCACTGGCTTTATGTCTCCCACGTTGACGATCCAAATCCCTCTTGCATTGCGTGCATAAGCCATTGACATCTGCTCCCAAGTCCTCTGTTGTTGGATCGTGTTGTGCCACTTGTAGTTCCTAGGCAGGCCATCATAATCGAAATGAAAGTAAACGCCAGCACCGCCCGGGCGGTCGCGGTCATCTGCGTTTGGCAAACGTCGAATATTGCCCCAATTTTCGTCAGACCAGAGCAGGGTGACGTCGTCAGGAACTTTCATCCCAGCCTCGTAGAAGCCTTGTACTTCCTTGTACAAACACCACAGCTGCGGAATACTGGATAAGGATTGGTTTCTACCATAAACGTCAGCCAAGATTTGACGCTGCGTGTCGACAATATTCTCTAATTGCCCAGTATCAATGGAGGCAGATAGTGCGGTATCTCCACTTCCGCGCATGCCCATCGTGATGATGCTTTCGTAAGGCTTCGCCCTGATTGCGCCATCACGCATGAAGGGAACAATGGAAGCGTTGTTTGTAGTCCATTGCCACGGACCGTTGCCGAAGAGCGACCACTACTTCGTGGCACGCTGAAAGGGCTCGGTATGGCTTGTCCCGATGACCACAGCGTATTCGTCGGCGAGGCGCTGATTACGTTTGTCGTCGACGAAGAACATCTGAGTCCAGTTTCCACCTGCGGGCCACAGATAGTTGCCTCGCAATCTCAAGACCAACTCGAAGACAAGTGCGTGAAATTCTGCACCGTAGATGGGCGGCTCTCCTGCTCCGGGAAACTTGGCTGTGATCCAGCCTGAGAGTGCAGGAGCGTTGTCATTGATATAGAAGCCACGCTACTTGACAGACGGTGTTCCTCGAGTTCTAGTTGTACGCATCGCACTGACTGTGTGGCAGCTTTTGGGAGGCACGTCAGCCCAAAAGTACCAGGGTGAAACATCAATCTGCTCTGAAACATCGTAGAGACCGTATATAGCGCCCCTCCGATCGCTTCCAACGATCACGAGAGCCGATTCAATACCGGGTATTGGAGACTGAACTAGTTGTGATGAGAATGCTTCCCATCGTCCTATGATCGAGTCAACGTCCAGCTTTCCACCACTGATCATCGGATCAATAATGCTTGATTCGCCGATTGTTCCTATGATAATGACACCACCGGTCGATCTGTTTTGTGATTTCGGAAAACTGAAGCTGGTAATGCCGGTGACATTGAAGATCATCGATGCGTCATGAGACGTTTGGTTTCGATATAGGGTGACTGTGCCATTGACTCCAGTCACACGACCAAAGTCCAGGGCGAGGTCGCCTGCAGTTCTCAACACGGCCGGCCATTCCTCGCTGGCTACCACTATCTGTACCGAGGAGGTCTGATTGCCTAAGAAAAATTCTCCTGACGATGGATCCGAACAGTCGACAGTGTTTTGGCGGGCTGCTAGTGCTGAAGCGACCACCAAGCACCCCAGATATAGAAGTAAGACAAGCATCGTTACGCATAGAATAACTAGTAATAATCCAGAAATTCCTTGAGCCTACGGAATATATGAGAGTGCTACAGCCTTGGCTGGGGTATCCCCGCGTCTTCACTTACCCGCAATTGCCAGACCACGAACTGCTACTCCGCCTTAGGCCTAGCCACGTGGTTTCTAGCTGCTGGGTCTGGAGAAGGTAGTGTGATGGAATTCTGTGAACGCACGTCCATCTCGCCCGCTCTAGGACATACGTCCTCGCTTGACGAGTGGTTCAGCCGTCTTATCGATTACCAAGTCACGTTGTGTCAGATCATCAATTACCCACCGGCAGCGCTCTTATGATGTACCGAACCGAAAATGCCTGCATTTAACCCGACTTTCCGTTAGTACCTGCGTAGTGTTATGTTGGTGCTTGCTAGGGTGTGAGTTTTTTACCATTAAATTCGTGCCTTCCGCCGCTTCAAAGGATCAGCAATCAACACTTGCAGATCAGTCTATGTTCCAGTGCCCGGGGGATAATTCGCTCGGAATACAATGACCCAATAAGTCTTTGTCTGGCAATCCTTGTAATCACTTTGACCCACAGCCTTCGCCACGTTCTATGTTCAGTGCATCCATCGCATGCTCGCAGGTCTTTAGACTGATGTTGATAGAGGAGATTCTAGGAGATCAGTCATAATGTCATCTCGCGACGAAGACTTTCGTCGTTCCCGACTTCTTGACGGTCCAGAGTGGCTAGGATATCCGCACGATGGCTATGAGCCTGTGTCTCTACGCGAATATCTCGATGATCGACCGAAAGATTCTTCAACCCGATATCTGGCGACTAGCTATCAAAGCCTGCTCACATTCGGCCTGTTGGAAGCGGTGGTTGAGGCCCCCATAGCAGAAGAAATGCTGCTGGAAAGGAATCGGAGTGGCAAGTTGGTTATGACTACCGACCGCCTAGTCGACGTTATGCGCAGCTGGCTTTCTCGGATCGAAGAGTCTCAGCCGAAATAGTTGAGATCATGGTTCCAGCGAGCTCGTGCAAACCTGAGCCTGGCCCATTCTTTCATGGTGTCGTTTACAACCATACGTTTTAGGATATTTGAGCCACTAGGGGATGGAATATCGTCAATGGTTTGCTTCATCGTGTTCATCGCTGAAACATTAGTTAATGCGCACGCAAGGATGATTGTAGGATCTCCAACGCCTAAAGAAGGGTTCTCATGGTCTATGATCTGGACACCGCCAATCAGAGAGTCATTACGAAGAGAAATGCATGACAACGAATGGTGTCTGTTGGCAATCGAATATCTGGCCAGTACCAGGACAATATCATCCTTGCGATATGCCTGCGAGCACGGTCCGCTAGGTGACGGCAAAGATCACTCGGCTTGCACGCCACAGTTTTGCGCCGCTTATGATATCGAGATGGGAATGTACGTCCCAAAACACAATAATATTTGCGGATCCATGTTGGGGGACTCAGCTACCCTGTGCGAATACTCCATGCCTGCACTCGTGCAAGTCATTGCGCATATCAAAGATAACTATATGCCCGTAGTCGCTCTTTATTATTCTAGTCGTAAGGTTTATATATCGATGTAAGGCGTAACTGTAGGCAATAGTGCTTGCTCCACGTTAAAAAGGATAGTGAGAGACGGCTGGTATATTAGCACTACAAACGTAAGTAGTAAGGAGGATAATTCTTGTTCCTCCTCTCTTAAGCGAGGTGTACCTTATAAGTAGGTTCAGCGCGTCTTCCTTGTTTGAGAAAAGCAAGCGTCTACTGACTATCTCTCTAGCACGAGGTACTTGCTTTAGTCCCTGTTACACTTTGTAGGAAGTAGAAGATATATATAAAGTAGTAGAAACTGAAAATGGTGTTTTATTTAGATAGATAATGTTATTTGTTGTAAGAAGTATAAAGTATATCCGCCTCTAGAAGAGAATCGTAGTGGTTGTAGTAATAGTACTATTGTAGGCCTAGGTTTGTGACCAGCCCGTGCTAATTCTACAAGCTCCGACACAGCGAACTGTAGGGCACGAAGGAGATCGGATGGAAACCATCACTAGCACATTGAATAACTCCTCCGGTAGCACTGTTCTGATGCTGTATGGAGAAGGCCATTTGCGCTTAGTGCGACTGATTTGCTGATCCAAAGAATTCGTTTAGAAGAAGAGCATCCAAGCAGCCTGGGTCGTAAGTCCAAAGAGTGCGAATGAACTTGCCAACCAGACCGGGAAGCGTATTGAAGGATTATTAGTAGAAACGTGGATGATGCTGTGCAGCATCCTCAACCCAACATACGCCCATGCCACTCCAATAGTGCTTCTGTCCTTGATATCCAAAAAGCTTAGCCCCAACAATACCGCGTAGAATTGGGTAGGCTGCTCCAGAAGGTTGTTAAAGTTATCCGCCGGCCATTTGACAAAGCCAGGTAACTTCTCCTCTTTCTGCTTCTTGACAGTTTCCGGATCAAACGTGACGTTGTACTGAGCGAGCGCGGGAATTCGACGCTTGTATAGCAGGAATTCAATACCGAAGGTCCAGAGGTTAAGACCCACGAGAGGACCAAGAAGAGGCTTGCCGGCGAGAAGGGTTGACATGATGACTGATCGTTGAAGTTTCAGATTTGGAAAAACCAATGATTGACTCGATATAAGAGGCTTCGATGGCGAGAGATTGCTTTAGTTGTAGACAGCAGGCTTGCAGGTGAGCGAACAGCAGGCTTGCAGGTGAGCGAACAACACAAAATGCTTTGCAAACGAATTATATCTTTTCTCACCAGCTTAGTCATCGGTCAAACGTTGATAATTACAAATCAAGCTAAGAAAATTCTGTGTCATCTATCTATGGAAAGAGCCGACGCGAAGAAAACATCGGTGGGACTGAAAGAAGCGGAGAGACCGCGGATAAGCCGCGGGTTGTCCTAGCGTTAAGGCTTATTAGTCAGCACTTGCACAAGTGGCTGTAGTAGCTAAGCCTGTTTTCGTAGTACATCGAACCCACGATCCCCATGCAGCGGTAAAAACGGCCACGGTGGGCTGCTGCTCCAGGTACCCTTCGGCAGCAGTGGCAGGGCCCACAATGGGGACAATGCCGCGCCAGACGGTAGTGTAAACAACCAAGATCCCTCACAAACACCCAGTCCCTGGTTCGATATCGCGCTCTAGAGAGCACCAGCGATCGTGCCGCTACAAAGGACAAGACGAGAACATGGGGATACTTCTTCACGTTCTCGGTGATGGGCTCTTTGATGAATTCGGAGTCAAAAAGTGGTCGTTTGCGCTGTCGAGTGTCAGGGGAACGATGTACGTGACGAGCCGCGGCTGAGCCTTCAGATGGCGCTGCGCGGTAGAGAGTGCTCAGGCCTAGAAATTAGGTTCATAGATCTGTACGACGGCGTTGAAGAGCTAGCTGAGGAGGAACATGACCTGACTGGAGAAACGATTCGCAGTTCCGATGACTATGTAGAAGCTCTGTGCAAGGATCTAGACAAGACCTACTCTCTGGACCCAGATGTTCGTATGCACAATGAAGAACGTGAGAAGCTCATTGCCCGTAAGAACAGCTCTGAAACCAGATACAGGCAAGAGTGCAGCAGGCACAAGATGTTCGTTGTCCTGTACGGCCATCTCTCAGCAGTTCCAGCGAACACCGTGATTAGTATATGGGGACTGGAAGAGCGGAAGAGTGCTGGCCGCAGCTTGGTGCTGTCGAAACGCGAACGGGACCTCAGGTCATTGCTAGAATCATACCTATAGTTATGATTGGACACGATCCATCCGGATAGTCTGTCACAATGATTGGTAAGCGCTGGACCACACTCGCGATACTTCGCACAGGCCATGTAGCTGTACGAGAGGCTCGGTACCAGCCCCGAGGCGTTGAGTCCCGCCAGGTACGAGCCCAGCCCGCCGGCGCTCATTTCTATCGCTATCAGCATGTTGGCGAGCCCATGGCGATCGCTCTGTGGTGGCGTGAGCGCCCGCACCGAGATCTCCATGTTAAATAGGCTCAAGCTCTAGTAGAGAATCCGGGTGTTTGGCTGACACCCGAGGCTCTGTTGATTGTTGTAAGGAAGCCCGCCGTCGCACTCGGCGCAATGGTACCGTCATAGCATGTCGCACCACGTCGCCTCGAGCCGCAGCAGTGTGGTGGAGCGCAACGTGTGACGGCAGCATCTGTAAGTTCTGTCCGAGTCTTCTGCCGCCATCGCCGCTCACATTGAAATTGAAGGTGGACCATGGTCCATCAGCGCCGTCGAAGGCGCCTATAGAATTCATGGTGATCGGGATCGGCACGCGCGCGGCCATCGCGGCCTATCATACTGCGTTGCGTTCGATCAAGAGGTCGGACACGCAGGCTGAGGACGGAGGTGAAGGCGGACGTCAACGGGCATGGAGGAGGTGGAGTTGGAGGTGGAAGGGAAGACGACCGAGGCATCTGTGTAGTATTCGTGCTTCAAGATGTCAATCGGCCAATCTAATGCTGCTGAAAGATCTCATGTCGACACATTTGCGCCTCCTAACAAAATAGCACACATCCTCCCGCTGCTTCCCTGGTCTTCGCGGCTAATTCCGAGCCTATGACTATTTTGCTTACTCACCTCCAAGCACTCAGCATAGACTTGGCACGCAATCTCGCACTCGCTGCAACTAACAAGACCGAATTAGTCACTTTAATCGAGGTATGAATAAATGGCCTTCCGCAAAGCATGATACCCAGCCTCACACAGCCTTGATCTCCATAGTCCATTCACCACCCAACATGGCCTCATCAACTCCAGCTCCTCAGAGGCAAATCCTCCTCATCGGCCTCGGCGAACTCGGCCATACCCTGCACACCCAGATCCTTATCCTTCTCGCAACCCATATCACACTTGGCCTCCGCTCACCCTCAGAACACACCTATCTCGCCTCACCGACGACCTCGCTCCTCGAATTCAATGTCACTCCCCCCTCAGCCACACTTATACCCTCCTTAGTCGGTTCGATATCGTCATCTCCGCAACTGGCTATGGCAAGTCCGAAAAGAGGCTGCCCAAGCTCGCTCGCGATGTCCTCACCGCCGGCAAAATACGCAAAACGCAGGACAAGGGCAGGATTTGGTTCTTTCCTCGGCAGTGGGACTATGACTTTGACGTGATGGGGGACGTCAGAGGGTTGATGTCGTTGTTTTGTGTGCAGAGGAAGATCTGGGGGCTTCTTCGCGAGGAGGCGAAAGGGGCGGGGGTGAAGTGGACGATTGTTATTACAGGACTATTTATGAGGTTTTTTGTTTGCGAAATCTTGGGGGATCGTGGACAGGTCGAGGGAAGCGGAGGGAGGAGAGATAACGGTCAGGTCTCTCAAGAGTTGGGTCCGTAGTGTTCCAGTTACGGATGTGAGTGACATCGGGCGCGTGCTGAAGAGAATCTTGGAGGGGCACGCGGAGGCTGCGAATACAGTGCTGTATATTGCGGGCGATACGATAACGTACGGACAGCTGGTGGACATCATGGAGCGTGTGAGCGGGCGCGAGGTCCTGAGGAAGGTCTGGAGCCTGGACCATCTACAAAATCAGTTGGAACGGAATCCGGGAGATCTGGTCAACAGATACAGAGTGGCTCTCGCTGGAGAGGGCGTGTACTGGCCAATGGAGAAAACGGTCAACCATCGACTGGGAATGAAGATGATGGGTGTAGAGCCATATGCAAAGAAGCTGCTGAGTGTTCATAAGTAGAGAATTTACCATTGCATCACATGCACGTTGCCGCTAAAGGTTGTCGCCCTCGTCATTCGATACTCCACCAAGCTTCAGCCGCCATCAATCATATCAGTCTGCCCTCGTTCAGCTGACGATGTTTTCGAGGGCAATTGCATGCGCTGCGCTACGTCTCAGCACATCCGGCCGATGTCAGGGGCAACGATCACTCCACAGGTTGTCCGAGCTGTAAGGCCGGATAAGAACATGTAGTCTGCTCCAGCAACAATTGGGTCGATCCTACAAAGGTACAATAAGGTCAGCCTTTGGGGAGCAATACAGGAAAAGTCTTGAGATGATTCTCGTCAGTCCGACTGTACAGTTGACAATAGATAGTCTTCTAGTCCTTGTTGGCATGTGCTTCATATACCTTGCATGGTACTATAAAAATGCTATTGTAGATTTAAGTCATAACCTCCCCGAACTTGTCGCAAAGATAATACGCAAATCTCTCTCTTACAGCAGCGACAAATACCTTGACATTCGCAAAGCTTGTAGGTGCGTCCGCTAGGCGCTAGCAACGACTGACGAGCTCGCCGTAGACCCCTTCAGTGATGAGATTATAGGCGTTCAGCGCCACCAACAAGAGGTGAGCGGCTGGTTGCACGTGACTTCGAGTGTTCCCGAGAGAGCGGCAGAATCATTGCATGGGTCGAAGCTCGGTTGATGATGCCATTATACAAAGACAGGGAGAAAGGGTTGCTGATCAGTTGCTTGCTTACGATAGCTGAGTCAGAGCGAGGTTATTAGAATTAATTGAGGCAAGATTATCAGATTTTCGACCGATGAGATGCTTTGATCTCATGCACAGGCAATGTCGGTGCAGACTGTCAAGACACCTGACCAGATATCCGCCATCTTATCTTGCGAGAGAGCTTGACACGGATTTTCTTCGTATCTGCCTTCGATTTGTTCAACACAGATGCTACAAGTTTCTCTGGAGCTGCTTTAAGTAGCCCATGTATCAACGCAGGCATGGCCGACGTTTCCCAAACTCACGCCCCTTATTTATCTCTGAATGTCTTGACGATAGTCGCGACTAAGAGAACAAGGCTTAGCACGAGGGCAAAATCTACAGCATCGACTCCCAAGCCAGTTCTCGTTAGTGACAGCAGTCCCGATGGTCGGTATCTCTTCAGCTTAGCACCATTCCACCGCTGCGCCTTGCGTCGCAGTCCGCAGCTACGGGTACGGCGCCTTGGTTACCTTGACAGTCGAGCTCTACAAATACAGCTCCTTTGCCTCAGGCTAGATGCAAGCACTTGCAATAGGTCGCCCATCCGTGTTGCCAACTGCCATCGCTCTGTATCTGGCATCTCACAGCTAGTGATGAGTAGAGTCGGAAGCCTTGACTTATGCAGCTGCTCCTGATAGGTGCGCTTGACCTGACTGGAGAGCTGCAACCGCCTACGTCGAGCACGCTCTTTATCGATCAATAGGCTCAGCAAACATTGGGCATTAGGCTCGTGTGTCTGCAGTATCCAGTGGCTATCCAGGCTGGAAGATGGTCACAGGATGAAGACATACGGGTCTTCGAAACATTAGTCCCAGTCAGGTCTCCTACACTACCAATAGCGTCGTAGCACGGCTCACGCCTTGAGAAGACTGCTCGTCTCCAGCAAACTGCTGTGCTCCTCCGAGCGTCACTCGATCCAGATGCGCGTGCTAGATTGATCGTGGAATGTAGCCTCTATACCAAACACGCAGAGTGGAAACAACAAGAAATTCTAGAGACGTCGAGATAGTGCGAAAGCCTCAAGGCTTTCCAGTAGTCGCTCACCATTTCCAAGCTTTCTAAGACAGCGCGGACAACTTATAGCGACGTAGTACAGTAGAGCGCAATCGTAGATTAGTAAATCAATTTAACGAATTGCTAGTCGTCGTAGGTTTCACTAAGCTACGCCTGACCTACTGGCTTGAAAGCTTCAACTCGTGCGAGGATGTAATGTGCGTTAAGAGTGTGTTAGCTCGAGTTATTAAAGAGTGTGTCGTCAACCTTCCTACACAGTCCGTTTATGCGACTAATCCCAGTAAATATTATTACTAGACACGATATCGAAGAAACGATAACACTGCAAATCTTCACAGTAATGCTATTCTAATCTGCTGCTAGTCCAAGACTATTGAAAAATGTCAATACACTATAACCAGGAAGTCACTAGATCGATAAGGGCGCAAATCATCTTACATCATGAAGATTACCAGCGTAGATGTCAGATACGATGCCAAATGCAAGAGAGCTGTAAATCCGCTGCGCGTGTCTATTAGGCGCTTCGTGCCGTTCGTATGCGGTCTACGATCTCGGGCGCTAAAGTGTTGGACCTGAGCCGTGAGCTCAAAATGCTCGGGTACATAGTGAATTCACATCACCTCCATGGCTATAAACATTGGGATACTGCTGATTGTCGGATCACTGGTGCGAATCGTATCGCGTACGACATTCTCACAGAGGGCACGAATAGCAAGATCTTGGTACTGGTAGATCTTCGACCAACTGCTTGCGACCAATACACGACTTAAGCCCTCGGAAAGCTAGTGAATGAATGAAGTGGTTAACACCCAAGCAGACGAGGGCATGCCACCACACTGCTTTCTTCTTGTGAACTAGCATAGCTGTGAGTCGGTTTTTGTATAGTTCGACCCCCTCTGCTGTTCCTCGCGAGTCCTTGATGACGAAATGCCAAGAACCTTCAGGCATATCCTTTTCGAAAGCAGGATCGTCATCATGGGCAATGATTACGTCGAGTTAGATTTGCCGGGATTCTCAGACGGGAACACAAGAAGGCTGGCAATGACTGGCGCGGTGGTTCAGGATGTCTTTGCCTAATTGAGTACGCTTCGGGCAAGCTATCTGTCCTCCGTCGTCTCGAGGTTACCTTGTCAGGCTTCATTCATTGTGACGGCTTCTTCTGACCGTATCCTAGACATTCTTTGCCAGCTTTGATGCACTTTCTTGCAGTGGGGCAAAGTGTGACCACAGGTCAAGCACCGCTTGAAGCATCCCCAGCACTGGGGTATCGCTTCATGAGTTGAGTCAGGACCCTGCTTTCAGCATACTACTGTACGCATAAGAATTGAGGCAGTCATGACCAGGTGTTTTTCTAAACGGTAAGTGCGCGTCCCTCTGTATCTTTATTGCCTTTGATAGTCGAACCAAAGAGCTCCTATTGGCAAAGCTTCATAGCGATGCACATGCAGTTGGCAGTGTCACCAGCCAAAGGGCCCGACCCATATCTTGCCCGAATATGATCGAGTGCAACCGCTACAGCGGGCCTTTGCGGCTCTGGTCTAGGCGGAGCTGCCGACTGGGCCTACCATCCGATCAAACGAGCGGGACAGAAGACCTGTCAGATTGCTCAACTCGCCGCGCTTCGTGATGGATGGCGACGCGACTGGTCGTGTGTGACATCCCGGCGAGGTCAATGAAGTGGAAAGCACGGATTATGTAGTTCCTGGCTACGCTGGCGCCACTTGCCTCGCTCTGAGTACTCCATCCAAAGTCATTGATCAGTTCGTGCGAAAGTTATCTAACCACTTCGCGTGAACAGAGGGATGAGCTAGGTTGTTAACACCGTGTGTTACTTAATTAAAGAAAACACTCGTGATATCTGCGACTTTTTTACTCGCCTGAATCAAGCTTGGGGATAGACCCCCTCTTCTAAGCTTGTTAAAGCTTTGTCAATATCGGCTTGCAGGCCGTGAAACAAAAGCCAGTCGTACCGCCCGTTCTGTAGCATGCGCCCGACTCCATCAGCTCGTTCTCACTGGTGCTGAGCTCGAGAGCGACGCACGGCATCGTAAGGCTCGAGACCTGCATTCATATGGGCGTCCGTATCACCGAAGCTTTCATGCGTCTCTGCGACTTTGGCGAGCACTTCCATCATCACCAGGGCATCTTCTACTCCCTGGGCAGCACCAACAGCTTGGAAAGGCATGGAGGCATGGGCTGCATTGTCCAAGAGAACAGAACGGCCCTGGTAGTAAGTGGATGTGCGCCAGTGATGGATGAGGCCCCACTTGACAGGCCGATGTTTGGCAAGGATCAGCATCGAGCCAGGGTCCATATTTTTTCCCTTGAACTCAGCCATCATAGCCTCATGTGTCGTTGTCTCCGTCATTGACTTCTTCTCGATGACCCAAGGATTCGAGCCTATCTTCGCGGAGAGAAAATTGACCCCGAAGTAATCTCTTCACAATGTTAGACACCGTCCCCAAGATCGCGTAGACTTCCGACATTGGAAGTACGGCGCGGTAGGCATATACACTTGCGTACATTGGTGCCACCTCCTGTCGGAAGAAGGTCCGAGTATGTCCACTCGAACGACACTCTCAATCCCGTCGGAGCCGGCGAGCAGAGACGCCTCAGCTGTTGTACCATCGGCGAATTTGAGGATGACCCTATGAGGGTGCTGCTCAACCAACTCCAGGAACTTATTGAAATGAACAGTCTCAATGGAATGAAGGATGTCATGATATGCAATAACTCCTCCCGCTGTGCCTGCACGTTCTCATGACTAGAAATAAATTCGTTACAAGCTAGGTTGACGTACAGATTTGCGTACATAATCAGGATGACCCCAAGCAGAGTTGCCAAATCGCTGCTGTTCTCGGCCTACCGTACAAGAAATATCGCCATAGTGGAGTGTGGTGCTGCTTAGACTTACCGACGTCTTCACCGAGAAGCGAACCTTCAAAGAAAATGTGCTCAGTCCTTTCGCCTTTGTTGGTAGTACAGAGGGCCTCGTACAAATGGCGAAAGCCGGGTTCGATGAGGTCAAGAGCTCGCATTCTATTGGGACCAAAGTCAATACCGGCACTAAGAATTAATCAGATCGAGCTTCTTGCACCAATTTTCATGTTACATTCACCCAACGACGGAGTACTCCTTAGCTGCTCCATAGATATTGAAGAAAATGCCTTTCCTGTGCAGACTTATGGCCAAAGCCGAACCAGCAATGCCAGCACCTAAGGCCTGTTCAGATTTCCTGAAACTCGACAAAGTGTAGCGAGAAGGACTTACCAGCAATGGCGACGTGAACGTCTTCGCGAGTCTTACCAATCATTGCCTTTCGTGGTTGTGGAAGGCATTTACATTTGCATTAAGGTTGTGCTTCGAACCAGGGTGTTTTACCTCATATTCATCCGTTTACCGTTTTCCAATATAGTAAAACGGTACAGTCATTAGTTGTATTTGGGGCGCGGATCTATATCCGACGCATCCGCGAAAGTCCAGTCCTCAGCCGATCGAGATGCACCTGGCAGAGGTGGAGAGGATATCAGGTCTGTAACATCGCATCTTTCAGATAGCACATGGCTGCATTTAAAGATTACAGATAGGCATCGGCATGCATAGAATAGTGTACGGTTATTGATCGGATGTCTCGTGATACTATAGAAGCACAGATCAGGCCGATAAGAAGTGGGCCAACCTTGATTCGGCAAAGCGTTCCGATTTAGCCCCGAACGTCGATCCACATGAGTCAAATCTCCGGCTTCTTCTTCCTTACCTTCCCCATCGGCTGCTTTCGCCGCGGCATCACACCACCTGGAAACGATGTCGGCTCAATCATCACATGAGCGCTCGGAACAGGCCCAAGAGTCCGGCACCCCAGCCAACAAGCGGCGACGCGTCGGACTTGCCTGCAATGCGTGCCGTATGCGCAAGTCCCGGTATGTAAGACGTGATGAGGTCATATATTGACTGACCACCTGTAATAGCTGTGATGGACAACGACCATCATGCTCGCCTTGCGTCTCGCTTGACTTCGACTGCCAGTATGAATCAAGCGAGTCTGCGACCAATATCATTGTACGAAAAGACTATATATCCGATCTGGAATCTCGAATGACCGCTATGGAAAGCAAACTCCAACGAGTTGATGATGTGCTCAGAGGCCACTTATTGCCGTGTGCCAATAATCGCCAAGCTACCATGGATAGCTCCGCAATAGCACAATCGCAACGAAATGAATCTTCACATCCGCCCAATCGTGCGGACATCGATCAGGCTCTTGTGGCCGGTGTGGAAGAGCCACAAGACGACGACGCAGCAACAAATGGCATGGCCATGGTTTTCGCAGATGAACATACCTCGGCTTTCTTCGGCGAATCTTCCAACATTAATTTCACGCGGCTTCTTCTGAGAGCAGTGGCTACCGCACGTCAAGCCGACATACAAGTGCCTGGTACCAAAGATCACGCCAGCTTCCTCTATGATAGTAATGTTCCAAGCATAAATCATGGCCGATCGCAATCGAAAACGCCATCTATGATATCTGCAAAGATCTCGAGCACTTCATTGCCGGAAGTGGCAGTCATGAACAGATTAATAGATACGTACTTTGACACTGCAGGGATAGTATTCCCATTTCTCCACGAGGAGGCCACCAGGAAAACTTACTCCGAATGCCTGGAGAACGGCTTCAAGAGGGCTCGAAGGACTTGGCTTGGGACCTTGAACATGATGTTCGCGTTGACCACTATGCTTGATCGAGAAAACTTCCCATCGGCCAAGAAGCGCTTCGAAAGAGGGGACCTCTACTATCACAGGGCTGTTGAGCTGTGTGGCGAACTCTCTAAGCACGTTGTGAGCCTGGAAATTGTCCACTACTTGCTGATGGTTGTTATGTATTGTCAAGGTACCCAACGCTCGGTGCAAGCTTGGAACATTCATGGCCTACTAACTCGGTCCGCCATGGCACTCGGCCTACACAGTCCTGTTGCTGGAGGAAACCTGGAACCCATTCAGGCAGAGCATCAACGACGCACGTGGGTGGTCATTTACTGTTTGGACAAAGTCCTGAGCGCAGCTTTCGGACGACCAGCAAGTGTACCAGATGAGTACGTAGTTGACCGACAACCCTCTGCGGCCCTCTTTCAGACCTCCAGCATGACAGAAAGTGGTGCAGACATTCCTGGCGACTTCCTTGTCGTATCGTTCGAGCTGTACCAGGTAATGAGCAAATCATTGAGGGAACAGTACTCGGCGACCGTCCAGAAGCACATCGATCTGGATAATTTGAAAACACTGCAGACCTCCGTCGAACTTCGGAAGAGCCTTCGCATGTGGGCTGCAAATCTGCCATCCTATCTCGGCCTCTGTGAGTCCCATCCACGGATCCTTGCTGAAAATTCACGGTTGAACAGACTTCGTGTCATACTGTCACTTCGATACCATAATTTGAGCATCCTTGTCCACAGGCCATTACTTAGCATCACAATTGGCCATTTATTTCGAAAGGACGACGATGCCATCAACAACCCTCCTTACTTCATTCAGTTGGCAATGGCCGAGGCCGAAGAATGCGTACAGTCAGCGGAGACCACCATCAACATTGCCCATGCTGTCATCAGCGCTGATTCTACGAGCAAGAACAATCTTGGAGCCTGGTACTTCACACTGTATTACGGTAAATTTTCAAAGAGGGTTGGCTAGTACACTGACTATTACTTACGAACATCTCGCCAGTATTCACAGCATCTCTCGTTATCAGCGCACGTCTGCTGTGGACGCAGCATGAGAGTCTCCACCTTGACCTGGCGGCTATAGAACACTCGAGGAAATTGCTCAAGAAAGCCGAACAGGTATTCCAGCATCTTGATTCGGACAATAGCCTTGTTCTTAGTTGCTGGAAGTACATATATGAGCTATCGATCATGTGTCAATACCACGGTACGTCACCATGTTCATCCTACTGTACACTTTAGGAGAATCAATCAACTAACCCTGTTACAGGGGGAATAAACACACAAGATCCTATTTCTCAGGTACAGCTTACAGAGACAGCAGCGTGGCCAAATATCTGGGCTGACCCTGTCTCTATGCCGGATTCATTCCTCACGATGCCTCCAGATGCAAACGATATCGAGGCATATCAATTGTTTGCGAAGGAGATGTTTGATCCGTCTACTTTTGAGATCAACCCCTATGTATATTAGGATTAAGACAGGTATACTACTATTATAAAGAAAGTAGTGTAAAGGTAAATTTTACTTTCTTAATGTTACACGGGGTTCGGCTATACTTCGCTAGGCTCGGTCTGTACTAAGGCGAGGTAGACTAAAGCAGTAGTCTGTAAAGTATCG